TTCGCATAACAAAGAATTACAACGAATTACGACATGTGAAATCATAGGTAGCCCAATGCGCTGCATTACGTACGTCACTTGGGTCACGTATATAGTATATAATAATATAAGGTTGGCAAGAATATTTTATTTTCAATATACATCGTTTAAATATGATCAAAATATTAACATCTATTCTATAAAATACGCCAAAAAAATAACAGCCCCTAAGTGTAGGGTAGTTTTACTAAATTTGTACGTCGTTTTTTTGCAATGAAACGCGATTAAAAAACGAAAATATGCCAAAAGTTTGTTGAAATTTGCCGTGTCCCGATGCGGGATGCCTGTTGCCGTGCAAAAACATCAATTTGAAAACTCGTATACGCGATCCTATTAGTCATGCAGCTTTGACCGTTTTGTGATGACCAATAGGATCGCGTATACGAGTTTTCAAATTGATGTTTTTGCACGGCAACAGGCATCCCGCATCGGGACACGGCAAATTTCAACAAACGTTTGGCATATTTTCATTTTTTAATCGCGTTTCATTGCAAAAAAACGACGTACAAATTTAGTAAAACTACCCTACACAGCTACACTTAGGGGCTGTTATTTTTTTGGCGTATTTTATAGAATAGATGTTAATATTTTGATCATATTTAAACGATGTATATTGAAAATAAAATATTCTTGCCAACCTTATATTATTATATACTATATACGTGACCCAAGTGACGTACGTAATGCAGCGCATTGGGCTACCTATGGTGAAATATGACGAATTATGACACACGAAACCAGTTTTAAACACCTTGCCCTGATTAGCTGAAGCTAAGAACCAAGAATACTTTGACAACAGAGAAGCAAATGAGAATACAATCATATTATAAACTGCGATGCGCCCGGCATGGATTTGAGTACTGTTGAAGCTTTGCATGAGAAAACTAAGATGTTATTTAAAGTTGTTACGAAGACAAAGTCGTAAATGAAATCAGATTAAACTATAATAATGTCAGTACAGAAGAATGCTTTCTCAAAACAAATATTCATTTTATAGCCCAGTTAAATCTCGAAGTAGATTATGGAGTGTTTTGATTATCACAACGATGTTTATAGCGGGCGTAATTGTTAATCTAGAAGCTATTCACAAGCAGGATGAGAGGTTACTGCACGTATGACTGTATACTGAAAATATACCAAGGCTATTGCCTTGCCACTAAAATCGTGCAGAAAAAAAATCTGACGGAGCTAAGAATGGGTTCATGGGAAAGGGCATAATATGGACCAAGGAAAACACTTTATATGGAAGTGCATGCCGTGCGCGCGGCTAAGCATTGATCTTCTTAAAATTCGTTTGTGGTTTTTGAGGCTTCGGGAATAGGAATTTTTAGCGCATTAGTGCATGAATTTTGAGGCTTTCCAACTAAGCATCATCAACTGCTTATCTCTTGTTGCTTATATTTTAATGCATTTTTTTGTCACGCGCGTTTTCTTTGCAGTAGAAACTGAAATGTGAACCGACTATAGCAGTTGTACAGAAAATAAACAAGTGGGGAGAAGTGAACCAAGCGAAATAAAACTCGTCTTGATTCAATCAAGATGCATGGTAGGTAATGACAGATTATGGCCTGATGGACGTGAATCGACGAAAAAAATCGTGTTTATGTTCAATTATGGTCATATAGCGGTCAAGTAATGATGAATAAAAAAACTATTTAAAGCTTATTAGTTGCAAAAGCCATTTTAATAGCTATAAGTCGTGATAATTCTGCCAAAATCTTGAAATATGCGACACGAATGCCGTAATAAACGTACTGCTTCATCAGAGGACGACATGGTGCATTTGTAACGGTAACATTGTGCGCATTTTATGAAATTTATAACATTAATTGTAAATACATCACCAGAACGCGTCGTTTTCTAAACTACTTGATTCCGGATATTATATAATATGATACCTTAGTCATCAGAAAATGACAGGATAACAAGAAAGTGCTAAAAGATGTTTTTGGTAAAGATTTGTTTTCGAATTAACTATGAAAACATTCTTGACTCGCGTGGAAAAATATTATTCTTTGCCACTGCAAGCGATTCATCACTAATTGTAACTCCCATGGGACCTTATTCCTATAACGAGGCGTCGATTGCATTATGACCTTCGAAAATGACCTTAATTATATTTCTATAGCTACATTTCACGTTTCGTATTAAAACTTGCATGAATGTAATAGCCAGTTACTTGTAACAATTTAAAACTTAATTTCTGAGGTTTATTGAGATATTCTTTAGAATCGTAGAGGTTAGCGAGATACTTAAACGAACAGCAGTATATTTAGCTAACTGCTAACCATGTGTGTCTGTATCTTGATAACGTTTAGATAAAAAATCTAACAATATTATAAAGTTATAAATATGGCTAGCCCGTCAGACGTAAAAAATCTTTGATAGTATTATAGGAATAATAGTTATTAGGAATAATACTCGTACGCTTCGACACCTTCATTTTCCTAAACACTTAAACATATATCAGGTATATTTCATTATTTAATTTCGCGGGATTAAACGTTGAAAGTGCAGTATATGTGATATATCAAATCAACATGCGAAAGTTTGATAATAAACAAACCAGGGTTTCAAAAACAAGCATATACATAGAGTGTCCCAGCCATTATCTCATCAGGGCTGTATTAAACATGTGTAAAATCTATAAACTAAAATATTAATAACTAGAATGCAAAGTATGAGAAATTAAGTAGGAAATCACTTATTGATTTTTTATTGTGATCGATTTTTCAATGGAATTATTTCTGAATGCATGTTGCTTGTATGGGAGACCGAAGGATTATAAACAAACCGGGGAACGCTGCGCCGAAGATGCGATCTCCAACGTTGTTGGTGGGTTTTAGAATTTAGGACTTAAGCTATGCATGGGCAACTGGTGGTTTCTCCATGATCTTAGCGGTGAGCAATCAAACGGAGTAAATCGTTATGCCATTGATCTTAAATTAATACCGACTAAACATGCAGTGTGACGCTGTGTGTGTGTGCACAAAGAATCGCGGTCAAGCCCTTTGCACAACACCCAATTTATCGGCACGGCACAGCTAAAATCAGTATGGAGTTTTCTGCGCCAAGCCTATCGATGCAAAGGCCGGGGACTGTTGAAATTGGTACCGGTGTCAACTTATTCATAATATTATTCGGTATTCATACAGGTTCATACTCAAATACAGGCATTTTATTCAAAACATATGTTTAAGTGCATGTGAGTGCATATGTTCAAGTGCATGCATGTCAACCAGTTTCCAATGAATGCGGAATATCAAGCTAACACTTCATGTAATACAAAGGACAGTGACCTATATCACACTGGAGTGTCCTCCATACTTCAACTGTTCTACAGATTCATCCTGCACTTGCATGCGGAGAGAAATGCATTTTTGCAATTGTTTTGCCCCGTGGCAGCGATAAGCTGTTACACTAAGCGGTTCGATGGTCATTTTCCATCGCCCTAAATAGGAAATAGCCGAACCAAATCTGTTTCTAAACCGATTAACGGATCACCCGAAATTACATTTTGTCCAAAATCTAAAATAACACAATGAACTGTCAAAATTCAAAAAATAGCCAGGAGTAAGCTTACATGGGCAGAAATATGCTTCGAATGATTAAGATAAACAACACTATAGTCAAGTGTGTATTTTCGAATTTATCTCGTGCATTTTAGCACATACATCACATGCAACAATATAAAAAGAGGTAATGCATATGTGTGGTAATTTATGTGTGAAGACGCGCACGTCGAATTTGTTGAGGCAATTTTCCATTAGCTACTTACTCTCCACACGGGCGAAGCGCGCTTTCCTTTTGAAGCCCGGAATGAGCGGATTTTACAAGGCAGGTTCGCGTGCGTCGGCAGAATGGACTCACGACAAGTAAGGTGGTAAACAACGTGGTAAAAAGATCGTTTAGAACCCATCAGATTTCGCGCGAATATAACCACGAATATAGAAAATGTGTTGAAAACAAGGCATATATTGGGCGATTGCCAGATTTCGAGATAGTTGGAAGAATGTTATAACTGTTCAAACGTGACATTTGTTGTTCAGAGAATATTCCATGTTTCCGCTATACAGTTTGGAATTTTGCAGAAATTTGCGCAAAAAAAGTTCAAACATAGCGAAATTCAAATTCAAACTGATTTTGGTTCGCTTAATAAAGGAGCGCTTTATGGTCGAATATTAAAGGTCACTGAGTAAAAGTCAATAAATACGTTCTATACCCGTAACATTTGCATTTTACATGCAAGTGCCTGAATAGCGTCCCATCCGTTAACGCGATCACCTATGACGCAATTATTGCCGTGGTTGTATAGTATCTGGTAATGTTATAAGTCCTACATTGAATGGAATGTATAGGCAGACAGCAAACAAGATAGAGACCCGGTGGCCGGTGTAGCATTGTTGTATATCCGTCTGCATCGCGGCTATGTTTAGTGAATACCGATGGCTGGAGACGCTGTGTGCGAAGCCATTCAAAATATTGTAGCATCAGATAAAAATAGAAAATAAAAACAAACAGCGCTGTACGGCGATTTAAAAATAAGGTGGCAATCGGGAAAACGTATTGCTGGAATAATATTGTATTCTAATTAACATATTTAGCGCCAATCATTGCGCAATTAGGCGCTAAGTGTAACAACATTCAACGGAAATAGATCTTTCACGTAAACGCAAACATCGATTTAAAACAAATTACACCATATGTGCGGAATATTCGACCAAGTTCTTACGATATCTTAAGATTCTCTTGCAAAGGCGATGGAATAACAAACAAAGTTATTTCAGGGTTCCTATCAAACATATCACTTTAATTTCTGAGAGATTTATTGGACCGAAGCGGTCACTTCAACAATGGTTCACGATAAAAAACAGAGATAATTTCCTTCTACTAACATATGTTTTGCTTAGAACACAGCTACATCAGTGCACTAAAAATGCAACAGAGAAGCTTGTACTAACCTCACAGGGGTATATTCCATCAAAAAACCATAGTCTTGTTTGTGTCCCGTCAGCTTCTTTTCCCGAAACGCTTTGATCAACCGCCTAGTGAGTGTAAGGTACATACCCCGACGATTTGTGTTGATATGAATTCCTGATCGCAGTTGATATTAAAGTCTTTATCGGTAAGGCGATAATGAATGACAGTTAATCTAGAAACCATCTGACTTCCTAAAGTGATTGGAAACAGAATAAATGCAGTGTTATTATCGGCGCAGTTTATACCATAACAGGATTTTTTAAGCGACGCTTAAGCCGTCATAATCGCGCCCTTTTGTCTAGGCTAAGTAGTCTGAAAACGCGTGCCGAAATAGATTTTAAGCCGGTAATAACAACGTTTTTAATGTTAGCTCAGCTAGGTGGATTAAAATTGCCGATGGTTATATTACATGTAAGGTGGTCAATTCGCTCGATGGACACCTACTTGGATTTTTCAGAGATGCATTTTCAACAAAGCAGAACGTTTCCATTGAGTTTCTATTTATTCTCATCTACTCAGGCATTAAGGTCAAGTGAGTATTCCTTACATTTTCTGTCCCAAAATCATGCGGCTTTTGAAAGATCAAATGTGAAATGTCTGACAGAATGGTAAACGTGTGCTAGATTTATATCTTTATATTTCTCAGAGATTGCACAAAAAGCATCCTTTTGCAAAGAGATTTGCCGATGAAATATCCTTGTTCTTAAAACACATGTAACAGTTCGGCTTACTCCATGGCCGGAAATTTCGGGGTCTGAATAGGTCAATCTGCTGTGTGTACGGGGCGGTTTTCCAATAGGCGGAATTTTTCAGATCGATCATGATTTTCTTTTCATTTAGAAGAATTCGACCCTAGCGAATTCCCTTGACCGGTCCCTATTGAAAAGAAAAGAAAAATTTCGTTTGACCGAAAAATTCATCCAAGTGGAAAACCGCCTTAAAACTGTTGCGGCTCAACCAGTCGACAAAGCCGCTTAATTAATAAACTGTCATTTTAGAACAAGATAAACATTACTAATTGTTGTGATTACTGACTGGTCAAGTGATCGATCCCATTATATTTTGACAGCGCAATGAGAACAAGTTCAACTTAGCGTTCTGTAATAGCGAATTTTCCCTTTTCAATCCTAATACAAATTATATTAAAACCCAACCCTACCATATTGACCTACAGTGTGACCATATACGCATTTTTTTAACCAAAGCTGCTCAAATCTAGTCAGATTTCCCATCCTACTCTAAATGTGATAAATATTAAAATCAGGTGGAGCTGTCTATATGTGCATCCGACCGGATCTGGTAATTTTTTTTTGCCAGATCTGGCTAGAAATTGGGTCAAACAATTTCTGGCTATTTATTAGACATCATAACATTGACTGATTATATGAAGTAGTACACAAAGTACTTAATTATAAAACTACCCCTAGGGAGGGGCATTGTCGGTGCCCGGTGGACAGTGTGGAATGTTGCATACGCCTTTTCAAATTTTTCCCATTCTGTATCAGTTGAATTCAGAAGCCTTCAAAAGGTAACTTTTATCGACTTTTTGCGTGTTCAACCCAGTGAACTTTTAACCAAGTCACCTGTTTCACAGCAAGCCAAGATGTAAACAATAGATTTCCGGCTAAGTTGAAGGGGTTTTGATTCAGAACAGGCTTCCGGTAGCTGAGAAGCGCCAAATATTCCACAAATTTTCTGGACATAAATCGAAAAAAAAAATCTTTCAAACACGAGCCAAAAACAATGATAGATATGCGGTTATTTTCATCGACACGGGGACATTGATATATGACGTGTACCAAGATAGTATAACCGAAACTAATTAGAAGCATGCCCTGAATAGCACGAGTCGAAATTAAACAAATGAGCTTAAATGTCAGACCATTATAGCTAAAAGGCTAAAAGCAAAGCGCTTATCGTATAACTATCACAATCATTATCGCATCTCAAAAAGATATTGCGCGTTGAATGTGTGAATATTTTCATCGTGTTCTTTATAAGAGGCTGCGTGAACACTTCGGGACAGAATTTCGTATGTGGAATTTGGCCAGGCTACAAGTTAAAACAGTGGTACGTGTCTGTTTGCCAAGAATCAACAATCGACACTTAACGAATATGCTTGGATAAACAGCAAACAATAGCTCCTGTCCAAAAATGGCAGTCGTGATTAACCATGAGCTGGGAGGGTTTTCAGTGACCGAAGGGAAAATTTCCCGAATATTAACGATGTAATGAGACTTTCTTGAAAAGTTTGTGATTCAAGTATTCTCGGATGTTGCACGCTTCAAACTATCGCATGAAATATCGTCTTGGAAATGTGCTTACATCAGTCAAAGCTAATTAACCACTTCCATAGCCCATAGGTACCCCGCAAGAAAATGCCATTAGAGATTACTACGATTGAGCATCGACCTTGACTTGCATTCAAAAATTGGGAATATTTGGCAATGGATTTATTTAATCATTTGACCTACCACCAGTGAACCACCCACAAACTGCTAATACAATCACAATTTACATTATATATTTAATATTATACAATTATAAGTGATGAGATTTAAACAGATTTTTTATAAGAAGGAAGAAAATTTTATTAGGGTGGTACAAATAGAACAATATACTAAGTATTTAGGTTCTAACTAATGTTTCTCTTTTGTCTGCCATAATCCAAGATAATCCTCACTAGAACAATAAGAGAACAGCTTTAAAACAGATTGAGGTATCCCATGGCGATACTTAAAGCTAGTTTAATTTAGTTGAAGTCTCCACCTGTTCTAATAAAACATGATCATTTTCTTGTTGGGGGTGGGTCTATGAGAAGGTCCAAATATGAATAAGAGGGACCAAAACAGAGACTAATACACCCATAAAGACTATTCTAGTTTATCAAATACTGGTGATAAGCACTGCATCCTACTTTGATGGACAGTGTCATCTCACCACATTCCACAGATAAATACTGATGCAACAGAAGTCATCAGTCATCCAACATGGCGACGATGCATGACGTAACCACGATTGAATATCAATATTGAAAAATTACATGATTATTTTATATTTAATTTGGAAAGAGTTGTGAAGATGGTTGATGCGTTTTTATGTAAATCTATAGTGAATATTATCAATCATTGATAACCAATATAAACTGTTGACTGACGAGACCACATCGATATGGGCTGTAGAACACACAAGTGATACAACGAGTAGCTTCAAAAAAGTTCATATCATTACACTCATAACTCATTGATTCTGACCTTTTCTGATTGCCAAAGTAACACTAAGCGTTCTTTATCGACAAACCAAAGCGTTTCATAACTTCCACAAGGAAGTCCCGGGCTTTAGGAGAATCAGTCTTAAAGAAACCAGCAACCAACTCTAAACCACGCTCTGCTGCAACGTTCCTTGCCAAAGTTGCCACTTTATCTTTCTCTTCGTCCGTCATATCGCAAAGAACCCGATGTAAGGGCTTGAAATCTGAGCTTGTAGCGTAGGCCCACAGGCCACCGCCGACAGAGCCTACTATAAAGCCGACCGGACCAAAAAGTAGCGATGAAACCAGTGTAGTTGCACAAACTTTCATGACGCCTCGCCAAGATTCCGAAATAGTCACCGTTAAATCGGCATTTATATCTTCTTTGGCGATATCTTTCAGTATTTTTAATATAACTACACTCGGTAATGCCATTGTTATATAAAATTTTTCGAACGTTTACTTTTTTGCAGTCTATTTCATATGCAAACTTTGCTCTGACTTCTAGGAACAAATTTTAAAGTTCAAAATTTTGGAATGCGCACTCGGGCACCCAGCAAAAGCAGGCGCCTTCGGAAACTGCGTCCGAAGATAACTTCCGATTGCCGAAGTTACATCTTGCGTGTTGTTGCGTGAGTCTTGCGTGACCATTGAAGAAGCAGAAATAATAATTCACGGAACGAAATATTCAAAATATTTTGGTTTGTATTTTCTAAAGAATATAATATGAATTGCCAGTTCTTGTTATTCCTGCCGTCGGGTGGCCGTGATTTAGCAGAACTTTAAAGTAAGTATTAAATTTCAATATCAAAGTGACATAATGTGGCTAAATTGATCTATTGTACATGCATATATACTGTATTTACACCTTTAATATAATACAGAATAGACATAGTTATGTGATACACCACAGTTCATTTTCATGCAGAAATATTTTTGTATTTGTAAATTTAAACCAGTAATCCTAAAATTATTATTCAAGAATGTAGATAAGTTCCAATATAACCAGGGAGCAGCATGGCAGCCCCTTCAAACAACTTGGCATCAAATGTGAAATGTGGTATAACAACTGCGTAAAATAGACAAAACACTTTTCGACGTTTCGACCTGAAGGCCTTCATCAGGGAGTTTGTATCTTAGACTAACCACATTTGATGCTATATTATTTAAGGATGCCTATAGATATTTGAAATGCTACTGTATAATATTCATTTCATGGTAGCATGCATATTTTTCTCTGGCAGATAATTTTACTTTACAGTGTATGCATTAGTGAAGTACTGCCACTGATCTCATCTAGTGAATGTTTAAAATGTTTGAATGTTTTAATGCCTTTCAATTAATTTAACATACCAATGTCTACTTGCTTTCATGAAATTTACTCAATCCCCTCCCTACTGTGCAATTTTAAATCCAACAGAGTGATAGTTATTTATGGGGAAGGTGATGACGAATGAGAAAAGTAGTTGTTCCAAACTCAAGTTGGAGCCCTAGAAAGCATGCTGACCTTCTTATGATCATATATGTTAGGACAATATACAAGGTGGGAATTTCCCTTCTTTTGAATCAGTGCAGCTCATATAAACAAGGCCTCAGTCAGAATTTATGACTGTAAGCAAAAGCCTCAGCTTGCCAGTGGAATAGGGGTTAGCCCTGGAATGATTTTTGGACCTTGGAATTCTCTAATTGCCAAAAACTGATGAGAAACTTTTGGCTGGGGGGAGTGTCACAGAAATGTACAAATTAATATTGCTACAATGTAATCCTACAAAGCCATAAAAAGGTGCAGGAAAGGGGGGAGGAACTCCAAATAACATCATCCTGCAAATCAAGATTTGAGTGATTGTCATCAAATTGTCTGTGTTATATCTCATCAAACTGACATTTTTTATGAACATTTTGGGCACTTCCATATGAGATGTTTGTCTTGTGGAAGACTGAATCTGGCATTGTTGGAGAACAGATCTTGTGGAACCACTCCAAACATTTCTCACACTGGGTGCACCATAGGTCTGGGTTTTCTGGGTTCTGGGTTTTTCATAGATCTTTCTCATTCCATGGCATTCGACAGTTGCACATCAGTGACAACTTAATCTTTCTTTGGATTTGGCTCTTGTCAGCAGAGTCTTTCTTTTTTGTCAGAGGGAAAGGGCTAAACTTATCTTCACTCAAACACCTTAACAAATGGGATCGCATAGAACCTTCACTGTATGTCAAACTTGCTGGATCTTGGTTTAACACTGTTGTATTAAATAATATACATTTGATAATATACATACCAGTGTTGCCGAATCCCTTCTTTGCGTTATTACAACAAAAATTTGTCGTGCTAGCTAACTCGTATTCCCGTAGGAGGTTTTCTGCTTCCTTAACAGTTTGCACTAGTCCAGAGCGCGCAGACAATTTTATTTTTAACAACGAGGTTGCTGAAGAAATATCAATATTTTCCATGTTTAAAATATTTGCATTTTCGCGCACTAATTTGCCGCGAAAAATTCCTAATGTAATTCATTATGGTGCAAGATTGATCACGCGTGGCTTCGCGTTCCATGCGACAGATCGCGATTAAACTTCGGCAGTCGGAAAATCATCGGATGCAGTTTCTGAAGGCACCTACTTTTGCTGGATGTCCGAGTGCGCATTCCCAAAATTTTTGGTCGCCATTTTGTACGTGCTTCCACAATTTGTCCACAAAATTCATTGTTGACAAACTTTTCGCTTTCTCTTTGTTTTCATTAAACAGCTTTGTTTTTTTCAATTCAGGTCTCTGTAATCTGTAAGCTTGTTTTATTTGCCCATTCTGTTAACGTGGTGAATTAGCCGTTAATAATTTAAATATCTGCCGCTTTAAGGTACTTTTTGCAGATACAGGATACTATAGTATAACAAAACAACTATTTATATTAATTTTTTAAAAGTAAATTCGTCGTGTCTCTTGATAGTTGATAGTTTAAGCCTGGAAAACTGCTTTTTTCCTTGTTATAGTTGTTCATATCCGTTTTAGAAAATTACAGAACTCTAAAATTGGCGAAACTATCGCTCGAAAAGCTAATTAATTACCATCCTTGCGATCATGCTAAGCTTTGCAAATCCAAGATGGCGGTGTAAATATGACCACACAGTGAAATTCACGCCGCTCCTTAAATTATGATTGACTCCTTTATTTAAATTCACTTTAAAATACAAAACATGTACAAAAATAAATATGGATGCCCGTTTCAACGGAATCTACTGAAGAGGTAACCTAAAATAGCGCATGGTTATTTAAAGCAGTCGAATTAATTTTATATTAAATACAAAAATTGGGCTGAGTCAAAATAAAACCCGCTACTTTCAGTTCTGTAACTTGTCATTTACAGGAATAAATTTTTCCTACCGAATTAAGGCGAACACATCAAAAATAATATCACAACCACATTATTACAGAATTTCGATTCTATAACAACATAAAATTGTCATCATAATACTATATTAACTAAATTTAAACGGCAAATTTTAACAAGATAGTTACAGAACTGGCGAGAAATTGGGTTCTAGTTGTCTCATTATAAATCAGGTAAATATTGGAGGGGACATGCGCTAGTACGAATAACGAATGTGAATCATCTACAAACAAGTTCAGTTCCAGCTGACGTGTTATGAACACACACTTCCCTTTGGCCTGGGTTATATGAAATGAAATGAATAGTTGTTCATGATTGAGAAAAACAAGGCTGGACAATATGTTGGTCGATCCCTTGGGCATGGTTTCCAAAACGAATGAAGACATACACAATAATCAAAAAGGGGGGATGCTCCTATGGGGGAAAAGCCCAAAAATTGTTCATTGGCATTGCGTGCTTAATTTTCTCTGAAAAGTCCTGCTTGTTTTTATCAGCCTGAAAAAACTTGACCTTTTTACGAAGTACGTTGAAGTAAATAGAAATTCAGAACAATTTATCTCTAAAACAGGAATAGGACACACGATATTAAAATAGCTATCCATTGCCATTCACGGATGTAAAATAAATTTTCTGTCTATTATAAATTTTAAAATTTTGCGCTTTCACAGCGAATATTGTCAAACTGAGAACATTAATCTGTAATAATTCTGCACACTGGTGGCTAAAATTAAATTGGAAATACTGTTTACTCGCATTTATACTACGATTTCTGTGATTTTCTTAAGTGGAAGTTAAACCCGTATGTAAACAAACGGTTTGTTTGTTGAACTTCTATACTCTGTAGTTTTTAAAAACTATTTGCTGCTAACACTATTAAGGTTCGTTCCGCTTCTTTTATATTCACGGGGCCCCCCATAACAATGGGGAGAACCGATAGGCAGACTCAGCTTCCACTTTAAATAAAATTACTCTGTTTACCTTTACAAATTATTTTGCCAGTATCTGGCATTAAAATTGCGTGAAATGGGTTCCATCATCATCTAGACCATCATCACTAGTAAAGTCTGAAAATGTCGTCAGACTATAAGATTTGAGATTAGGCGCATGCCCAGCTTCAGTGGCTTCGATCCATCGAAACGAAGTGTCACTCGAAGTATCAGAAGAGCTCGATCCAGACTCTTGACCAAATTGACCCTCCCTTTTTCTATCGCAAGCAGGTTTGTCTTTGGAGTTTTTTGACTCTGACGCAGCAATGAAGTTGGAGGTGACTTCATCGTGTTCCTTATCTGTAATGCAAGATTATTACAGAACACATGATTATCCAAGATAGCGTCCGGCTTTAGGTCATTCTGAGTTGATTGTAATGTAAAAGTTCCTTCAGAGAAACTGGTTCTCGATTTTAATACTTGATTATCGAAAAAATCGATGATCGATTTCATTATTTTCATGAAAAATGAGGGCACCTGAAAAATTTAATACATACGGAATGTATTTTTAATCTACTTACCAAATTTCTTCCTATAATCTCTGTAATACTCCTCTTCCACTTCATCATCGGCTATGACGCGCCTTAAAGGCTGCGCACTCTTTGTTCGACGTGGCTTGTATTTACCCCTTGCTTGATGTTCATTGACTTCAGAAATATCTTCAGGGCGAGAGTGTGTTTTTAATCGAGGAACGTCGCCAACGTCCGACCAACGCTCGGATTCCCTTGGCGATGTTGCGAGTTGGTCCGCTGAAAAATGGACAGCTTTGTTACTATGAACTCTGCCTTTCGGATAAAATCTCTTGTCCAATTCAGCAGACGTCGTGGCAGAACTATGTCTTTGTGGCCTAGGTTTCTTATAAAAGCTAAGGCCATCTCCGCCTTGATTATATCTCCGAGGTCCTTCTGGGATTCCTGGCTCGTCGGAATCGTAAGTTTTCGTTACCTGCAAAGGATCCACTTTCTTATCATCGCACTTGTTATTACTACCGGCCAACTCGGGATATTCGGGCACCACAACCCTTTGTCCGTCGTTGATGAATATAACTGAATTCCCACTTTTCAAAGAAATATCGCCTCCACTTCGTTCCAAGTATTGTGCCAGTGTTGAATCCACCAAAGCATCGCCGCTCACCTCCCCTGGTAAGGGTATATTTGTCACAGGTTGGCTACCAGGTGGATTTCGGTAAGTGTAAGGCAGCTCAAATTCGTCATGCTCATATTCCCATACGCGATTCGGGTCGTAATCGGAGCTAACTGGATGCGGATGGTACCTTGGCCTGGGATGAAAATTGGAGTCCACCATATTTGAACTGTAACCCGACTCGTGCAGGAAATCTGGGATATAATCCGATCTGTTCGGACGAGGATATACCGTGAGTTCCTCTGGTGTAACTCTTGCAAGATTCGTATGTCCGGATATCGGCCATGTTCCAGACCAGTTCCGTGGTCTGGTAGATGGTTGTGTCTCAAACATACTCAAATTGATATCGATATCTGTTGGCCGTTGGGTAGAAGATGAGTCAATGATTCGGTTGTGGTTCGGATCCGGTAAAGCGCACAGGAACCGCACTAGTCTTTCTCGTACTTTCCTGTCCGTAAGACAGTACAATATGAAGATCATAAAACCCTGAAAGCTGTTGGTTATGCAGAACAAATACTGGAAGATAAGTCTAAGTTCTCCGATGGCAAGGACGCCGAACAGCCACGTTATTCCAAAGACGATGGCGATGCCCAAAACCCGACGAAAATGGACGATACCTTGTTTGTGTCGGTTGCCCCGAATACGCGTGCTTTGCAACGCCTTAACGACCAGCGCAAATATAATCACATTAAATACCAACACAGTTATTGCTGGTGCCAGAAAGGCAATGTAAAATGACTTTCCTTGTACCCGACAACTGTAGGAGAAAGAAAAGTCTTATGTCATTTCGTTGTCTTAGTGTTGGATTATTTCGTGCTTCTGGGCAACGATGCATTGTCAAATCGGGGTAAATTTAATACTGAAACAAACTGGTGTTATTACATCTCTGATATTACTTACTATTGGTCATTTTTGTAATCATCTGTACTGACCAGAACTGTGATGACAACGATAAGCATTGGAAGAACTTAAAGGAAGAGAAATCGAGAGCATTCATGAAGTAATCAATGTAAAGATAAAATCATCACAACGATGAGCACGGTGATCTCACTATGGTACGGTTACCTAACCATGGTGAAATAACGTTAGATTCTGCACGTTAAACAGTTGCCAATATCAGAGATTTTTGACCGAGCTAAAACACTATTTAATATAGAGTTATCTTCACTCTGAAATTTCCTGTAAAACATATTACTCTGGATTGACTTCACCAACTCAAAATCCATCAAATCAACATTGAATAAGTCCTGTATACTTAGGTAGAATGTGTGCTTTCCAATGTTATACATTTCAAGCAAAAAGAGTATAAATTTTCCTCACCCCATGCTACAATAGCGCATTTTAGCACGAACTTCTTCCCCAGTTCCCCAGGCAGACGGTCGAGCACAATATTTATAAACATTTAAACATGTGAAAGCCCATCCATAGTACGGCGACGAGTACGAAGTAATGCAATAGATTGCTGCCTTCCTCATCAACTTGTTCGATTCCACCCAGAAATACGACGAGTGAAAGCAGCAAGGATAGACAAAGATTTAGCAGAATTAGTCCGCTCACTCCATTACGGTATTGTCTGAAACAAAGTGTTTTATTGTATTTGTCAGTATAAAGGTAGGTAGTTATGCATTTGTCAGTAAAGGTAGGGTTTAAATGCATTTGTCATTAAAGGTAGGGTTTTCCCTTCACCTTCTTCATTTTTGTACCACTTCACATAGAAAGAGTAACCGAACCTATTTTAAGAAACTTGTGCATTTTCACCCTGTGTTTCCCGGAAAAAAAGTTCACATGGTGGGTAGGAATAATCTTCTAGCATGTTTAAACCACCAAATTTACGAGCGTAAATAAGCAATCATCCATCGTCCCTCGCGCGCTTAGTTTGTGATATTTAATGTTTCAAGGGACAATTTATTTCAGTGTATATTGTTACATAAAACTGTACGTACTTGAATGATATCAAGGTTATCATTGTTAACAACAAGCCTGCGATGGAAAGATAACAACCAACGAAGGTGATTTCTTGCAAAATAAGTTTGTCTGTATCTCTTGGTTCTTCATTTGGAAATAGATCCTAAAATGAAATACGATTAGCATGATATAAAATGACTAAACGTCGATCGGTCGAGAAGAATACAGATATTTTATTCACTAAAAAACCTGACGATTTATCATGCGAACGATTTATCTTCCCATGTAGTGGGAAGATAAGGAAGCAATGAGAAAAACTATCATACTTACCACCAAAACAGCAAAATGGGTCAAATGGCTACAGCTGCAGCGTGCCACTCCATCGCCAACAAAGTCGTATTTACAACCATTACTTGACCAACGTCCTAACCCACCGTCAGCTTCAAAATCCCAGAAAACACAACTGCAATTTTTGGCGTAGGTGTCATTGGTTATTCTGAATTCAATTTGCACAGGATCAGTGAGGTTTTTCACCTGATCTCCCTAAACAACGTTACGAACAACATTTTTGTACCCTTTGATTCGTCATCGGTAGTTTATCGAACAGTTTTGGAATAGAAAAAATAGATTGGAAATTGAATAGGATAAAATTGCAAACAATTGTTAAAAATCACATAAAATATAATGGTACGGAATAACATAGATGGCCACGAAGTGTTTTGCAAAGACGTGTTCCTCCTTAGAAAATCTTCAGGCTTGATATGTGTGCATCGTATGAGATGATATTGATACCACTCTTACAGATTTATATATTAAATTGTTAAATATGATATGCCTTACAGGCTAGCACTGTGAGGAGAAATTTAAAAATTGTTGTCATACCTTTACACACTGGCGATGGAAAACGATCTTACTGTTGATAAATTTCTTCGTGTGATCTGTATTTTGAGGAAAAAGATTATCGTTCATGAAATTTATGAAGGTAATTCGTGTCTTTTCCGTGTAACGTTGGAGGAGTGTGGTAGGCAAAGTGACAGACACCAAACTTCTTTTAAAGTCATCTGTGGAATTGGTTACGAACTTCAGATCTTCTGATTTGTTTGCGACATCCCATGCTTCAGCGACTAAGTTTCTTAATTTTTCACGAACGCGTTTTTGTCCACTAAGGCTCATGTCGTCCATCAACTTCCCCATTTTTTTCAAAATTCTAGTGGAGATAATGTAAAACATTGATTGTCTGTGGAAGCTAGCATCGATTCAGTTTGGCAAAGAATTACTAAGATTGCACTTCTTTTGACAGGCAAGAATCTTCTCAGAAATATTGTAATGTAAGGCGAGTATATCTGAGCATTCATGGCTCCATCTACTCATTCACATGTAACAAACGGATTAAATCCCACCTGAAAACGCTGCCCGAAGTGCAGTTCTAGACTGGCCTTTATAGAACTACCTAAAATCGCATTGGTAAATGGCATTGTTTTGATAACTACATACTTTGTTGTCGACTGGTGTTCCTTGTTCGCCTCAGCAAGAACTGCTGGATCTGCATTCATCACATTACTGATGGAACTTAAAACATCTTTTCTGATCTGTTAAGAAAGACAACATCAATTTAACGTTGTACCGTCGTAATGATATGATTGTTACCTCGGAGAAGGTAGATAAACTTGGTTTGTTTAAGTTTGATTACGCAGTCAAAGTATCTGAGCTTGTTAACAGAGGTAAACCAATGCAGGTCTACCGTGGTCCTTTATAATCATTGCGAAAACAAGATGGCCAACCAATATGGCCATGATTTCATTCAGAATTCAAAGAATCCAAAATCAACTCAATGGAAACAGTAAACAGCAATGTATGATTTGCAATCGTCTTACTTTTGACAAATGCGTTGCTCCATCTATCAGTTTCTCTAGAAAATTTGCTCCATCTTTGACAAAATCAACTGTAGCATTCGAAGTTGCCGTGATATAATCTATCAAAACGGCCATCGTGCTTTCATTTTCTTCTGTTATCTCCACCTGAATAACATAATCCAATCTCAGCCGTAGTACTGAAAGATAATTCCGGTTGGCATAAACCGACCAAAATATATAGACTAAAAATGCTGATTAGTAGTTGAGTACCGTATTTAGTTCTTTCATTGTTGTATTTTTTTCAAGTGCAGAGCAATTTTCATCATGCACTTCACCCCAGTATTGTGCCATAGTTGTCGTATTCATCATACAATATCTGTAAGCTATCGCTGTATTATTATTCCGGTTGTATTTGCAGGAAGCCTTCGCTCTGTCACCTACTGGAGTCTTGTCCCATTCTAGAGTTCCCTTTTCAAATTTTTCCCCAGTTGAACCACCACGGCAGTACACTAGAAGTGAGTACAAAAAGTTGAACAAGACATGTTGACAGATCCACGCAATAACAAAGATCTAAGGATAAGTGATTTGGGGGATTTATAGGATTGGTGATGCTTACCTGTATGTTCTCTTTTTGCAACTGAACTTGATACGGCGAGAAGTATCGATCTTGTTGGTGTGATGGATGTTGGCACTTCCTGGGTTTTATTTAAGAATACAACAATCACAGTTGCATTGATTACGGAGTAATTTTCGGACATTGTGGATAAGGTAGGAGTTGGGGTTATAATCCTTGTTGATTCTGATGTAGCATTCCCAGTTGAACTCGTGAATGTTTGTAATGAAGATGAAGAAGAGGTTGGTGCAATACTACTCTCTGTTGATATTGCCGAGTAGTTCACTTTGAATGAAGAAAGAGACGGAGATGATGCAATATTCCCACTTGAGTTCCCTGGCGATGATGATGAAGATTTTGAAGGACTTTGCCCGAAAGATGAGGATGTGGATGGTATAACATTTCCACTTGATGTTGAACTTATTGATGAAAATAACGGAGGAGTCGACGAATATTTACTGGTGAATGAAGGTAAGAAAGAAGATGACATGGTATTTTCACTCAATTTCGAGCTCATTGTTGACGAGAGTGGAGGAGTTGCGATAGTTTTAAATGAGGAACCACCTGACGTTGGAATTGAAGTGGATAAAGACGGTGCTTCCGTTGACATTATGGTGGTATGAGTCGTTCGGGCTAGAATCCGTGTGGATGTATTGAATGTTGCGGACGTCGACATATCATCGCCATCGTTTCTTTTACCATCGCTTGAAGAAAGTGCTGCACAGAAGAAATACGGATAGAAAATGAAATAAATCCGCAAAATCCCTACCCTGCTTAAATCTAAATAACTAATGTATCAAGTAAATTTGCTCCAGTAATAGACTACTTCCACCGGTGCTTCTTCTATTGTTCTAATGCTGATCGAGTATCATGGTAAAGCTTGGAGCAACTACCGAATATATATTTCCAATGGCCATTAAGGTTAAAGAAATAAGTAAAGGTCTAATACCTTTTGATTGTTTTCTTGATGTCGAACTTGGTACAGCTGAGAGCATTGATGAAATTTTCATCGTGGTAAAAATCGAGGTCATCAAAACAGGAGTGGACAGAAATGAGATATCTCTTGAGTTTTTTGTTCCATCTGGTTTCTGGATGTTTGTAGACGTTCTTAGTTTAGGTAGCGGCGAACGTGTGGTTGGTGAAATGCTTTGGGAAGAAATACTGCGTGAAAAAACGCTGTAAAATGAATTTCGTGGCTGTCCTGGTTGGATGGTCATAGTTCTGGTGATCATACTAGATGGTGTACTGCTCATTGTTTGTTTGTCGGATGAATTCCACTTCATTATCTTTGTTGCCATAGACTTGGTCCTGGACGGCCGTTTTTGCATCGTGGCACTTTGAAAAGAAGACGAAGTTTGGCAGATGACACTTTGTTTACGTGAAGCTCCTTCATACGACTTTAATCGACGTTCAGGTTTTCTTGTGTCATCCTCATCTTTCTCATCACCACTATGATCATCATCACAAATATGATCATCACCATCACGACCATCATCATCACCATCACCATCATCACTCTCACCATCGTCACCATCGTCACCATCACGATCGTCACCATCCTCACCATCCTCACCATCATCACCAACATTATCTTCATTATCATCATGGGTTAAAGAAGATGCTATATAAGAGCAAAGAAATAGCAATTGAAACAAATAACCATGTAAGAGAATCCAAAAACCTAAAAGATGCTAAATATAGTGTGAAACCTATCGCGTAGTCAACGAAGCGGGTAATTTTATCGCACTTTCGGTTTTTAGACGATATTTACATTGATAGTTTTACAAATATATAAGTATAACTGCCAGCAGTGGTACCAAGGAACATGGGCCAATCACCAACTTTGTTTACATTTTCAGTGACCCAATCAGAATGCATTGAGGTACATTATTTTTTTCCTTGCGGTCCGAATTCATATTTTAGCGTTTCCTGCAATTTGATTTGCTACGCAAGCGGTCCGTATGAGGCCGTACGGACCGCTCGAGATTTAAAAGCACAGAGCTAACGCTAAGATATGAATTCGGACCGCAAGAAGAAAATAAATCTATTATTTACCAGTTTAGTCGGTCCGTATAGGGAAATATTTCCCTCGGTCTCAAAACGTCCCTTGGCCTTCGGCCTCGGGCTGTTTTTGAGAATTCGGGAAATATTTGCCTATACGGACCTTCAATCTGGTAAATAACATATATTTATTTACCATTTTGCGATAGGTGTACATTATATATAATAACAACTATATCGGCTATTCAAACAATAACTAACGAGAGTAACAGACTATATTTCCCTTACTGAGTCATAAGGCAAACGTATTCTCTGCCTGTACTAATTGGTTAGTTATAAAGGCATGGAGCTTCCTGATTCAAAATGTACCAGTCACATGAAACAACAATATGCCCTTGTTCACAAAATATGATGAAATTTTTAGCTCCTTGTGATAATTGGAGCTCTTGCAAAATTTCTTTCGTGAAGTGGAAGGGGTTGGTAAAGTTTTGTACCTTTCGATTGTGTTATTATCGACGGACTCAGGGTAGCTGGCGGCGTTGATGAGATGGCTTCACCAGAAAACCTTGGTAGTTTCGAAAGAACAGAAGTCGTAATTGGAGAGCTCAATTTTCCTTCTGAATCACCGTCTATAACCACGCTTGGGCCAACAATACTTGGTGTTATAGTGAATTTGGTCTTCAATTTCACATCATCAATTTTGGTATTCATTTTACCATCGGTGGGAAGGAACTGACTAAAAATACTGCTGGTTATCTTTGATTGGCTGACGGTGGAAGTTGGGCAAAGGTACACTGTCTTGAATATATAGCCGTGAGAAGACGAAGTAACAGTAGTGCGGTCATATAAGTGACATCCATTTGAACAAGGATACCGTGTCGTCGTGCAATCATAGTGGTTCCCTGTCCTCTTCCAACATTCCCTTTTCCTAAGTAAATGACAATCCTCATAAAGTTCCTCATGGTCATCTACATCATCTAACTCGTCTTGTTCATCTGCATCTGCAAAAAGCGATAAAATAATCGTTTGGAATTTTGTTTGTCCCAAAGGGAACAAAAATATCATTGGTGCAGTCTTTTCGACGAAATGAACTGTCAGGGACAATTAAACGGCCAAATCCCCACCCTAACGCCAACCCTAAGCCTTTTACTGGAGTTCATATGGATCAGTAACACATCGAGCCAATCAGAGCACAAAAATCACAGTGGAAGATGGCGGTGGGTGCCTGTTACGCTTTACTTCCAAACAATTGAACTGAACTGGTGATTGCAGCTATATGCAAGCACAGATTTCATCCGGCCTAAATTGTTATAATCTGTTAAAATCCTATTAAAAATATAGTATATCATAATATAACATTTATAGTACACGCGTGCTGATTGGTCGAGAAGCGTGTTTCTATCTAATAATTAGACAACGAGTCCGAGTTGTCTATGAGCGAATAGTCAACGAAGGCGAAGCCTGAGTTGACTATTCGCTCATACACAACGAAGGCGAGTTGTCTAATTGTTTTAGTATACACCCTGTACCTAGATATGTTCATTTCGAGAAAAATAATCGATACACCGCAATTACACCGAAAAATAATTTAATTAATTCAATTTTATACGGTCGCGCGAGCGAACTTTTCCCAAACGTTCACCATCACAAATATTACACACTGGTTGAGTAGCCAATCAGAATGTAGGATTTGTAATAGACAATAGCCGGGTGTATACTAAAACTGTATAGAAGTTTTCATTTCTTAAATGTGAACTAAATATGTAGCTACTAAAAACGATCAGAATGAAAGGAAAAGTTTTTTAGATTGATAGCATACGATAGGCAAATCGGTGGAACCATGACAGGATTGACTACACTATATCATGTTCTTTCGCTGTGTCTATATATATTATTCTGTGTAAACATCATTATTATTTCATTTCTGACAATGACCAAACTCTAGTCCGAATGTATGAATACATCAGTTTGTCTGTTTTCGAGTGCCTGCTGTTAAGTGTTTCATATTTGTATTTTTTTCACTGTCTTCAAAGATTGTACCTAAACAAAACCAGCATGGTTTAATTTCACAATTCTTTAAACAAGCTGCGCCAGCACCGACACGGGCGATTTTTGTCGGCAATTTTCTTATTTCGGTTATTATTAATGGATTGCGAGTGAATTATGAACACAGTTCGATGATGAACAATGTAAAGTGATCTATACCCTATTATATTTACCCAATGACATACACCAGGACAAGAAAATAGTTCTTATAGCAAAACCGCAGCTGCATATAAGGAGCAAGGAGTGTCTCCCCAAGCTATCCTTAAAACTACCTTTGAGATAATCTCAGATGATTATCGTGATTATAAGATTATTATTATACCAAGTATTTATGTTGATATGTTTACAGAAGTTGGTATTTTTCAAAGTAATATTGTCTCCAATTTCCGGCTTGTACTTTTACCTCAGGGTATTTTGTACAGTATTGAATGATTTTATGATTATTTTGTATTTCGTAATAAAACATAATTCGGTTCCGCCCAGCACAATATTTCAAGATCTTGCAACGTTCGGCGCACTGGTCATGTGGTAAAACAAATACGTTAATTGGAAGTGAAAAAAATGTTCAATGACAACGTAATATATTATGTTTTATTTAATTATTTCACTTTGCGACACTTCACTTTAAAAATCATGGAAATATTAAATGTTACATTTTTTTGTTTTTTATTGATATCCAAATTACATGAATATATAATATTGTACGCACATGAATATAGTAGCTAAACCTGTTAAAATATATTCAAATTGTAGGGATTGGAAACTAGGATTTTATTTACGACGCCAAAAATCTAGCTGCATTGGTTGCTTGCTTGAAATAGGCAACATTATAGCTATAGCTACATTTCGATCTAATTTTGATAAAACCTTTATAATTACCATAATCTTAATATAATCTATTTTTTATATCTTGACTGATCTAATTAGCGTTTAGAATTACTTTGGATTACTATACGGGTGATAAGTGTTGATTCTAGAAATCTCAATCATATATGGTTTACTTGATAACTCTGAAAGAAATAGCAAATAAGCCTTCGAATAGGACAATTTAATGAAAAGGCTCAGACGTCAGGTATTTGCATATAAAAATATGACCTAAAAAGTAGAATAGATATATTCACATAAACAATACGTACTGTATTTACAGGGTATCCAAGCACATTGGAACAACATTTCACACTTAAATATATAAACCTCGGTTTCTACAGCAACATAAACACATGTTTATTGAACAATTGCCGATCAAAGAAAATTAACCATAAATGCATTTAAAATAAAGATGTTTCAAAAGAAAAATCTGAGTGATTTCATATACTAGATGCTCTTTATCATCAGTGTCAATTCATTCGGGAATTTTCTTTATAGCTCAAGTTTTATATCATTTTTAACAAGAATAAACGTTTCATGGATTAATGAATAATTGTAGACACAACTGTTTATTGTGTCGATCGTAGGCGAGAGCGATAAAATGAAAAGCATTATATCCATATCATTTATCTACTCTGATATTATAATTAAAAACTATTCTTTAAGAGGCTTTATATTATAAAAGTATTATTATTAAATCTGTTTACGCCGTAGTCAGGAACATCTTTTTGTTTTGATCATAATATTGAAGTATTTCCTCATTACTAGATTAGGTTTTTTTGCGCGAAAAAACGCCATATGCACGTGCGTCCAAACTGGGGCACAATCAATGTCAAAACACCGGCAGTGGCGTTTTAAAATCATTCAATAACATCGCCTTCAACCTCTCCGAAGGCTTGTCATATCCGGCTTAAGAGAATTAGTTTCTCATGAGCATACGTTATACTTTGACGTAATGAATGAAAAGGTTGCAGCCATTGAATTTTGCGAAATCGTGGACAGTTAAAAGATGTGTACATGCACAAGTTCCGAAACGAAAATTATTTTCAAGTGCGTGGCAATCGTTCTATATCAGCCTCCAAATTTGATTTACATCAAATGTTTATTTAGGAATTTTTCACTCACATCAAAATGATCCGGCGAGCAAAACATATTTATAAGATCAAACATTAATTTGTCTTGTAATACGTTCAAAATAATTTCATCATGCGTTAGTAACCAATATTACCACAGCATATCCTATGTAATTTTTGAATGAATTTAAATTGTATTATTGCATTGAACTGTCCTCACTGCATGTATTATATCTAACAGTATACCCTAAACTCTTGTTTAATTATTTTTGTCGGTTTTTAAATAACCAATTTAACTATTTGTACATAGAACTTGCTGTACACAAAAGCATATGAAATAAGAGCTATCTATAAGAGATCTGAGTTACTTTAATTCATCCAGCCCTTCAAAATATCTTTTAGATTTTATATAAATATATATTTTACGTTCCAATCAATACTCTGGGATTATGCCATCGTAGCTATATCCAAAACATTTTACGGCAAAAAAAGCAGTGAACAAAAGGTAAACGTTTGAAACTTAAAGTATATTTTGAAGTCCAGCAAAATTCTGGCATACAATCAAGTCAGCGTCGGCCGGAAAATTCCGAATTGATACACTATTTTTTACGAGATGCATGACTTGAATACGGAAATCGCGGTGTCACGTTTTAACAAGAGATGCAAATAGTTCAAGAAACTACTTTTCAAAATGCTATACGTCGTTTTCCTTCAAACTGGTTCACAAATAAAAGAGGATTTAAATCATTTTGAGTATCAATGAAAACCCATGCATACACGTTTTTGAGAAATACATAACTATTGATGACGAAGCTTCTTGGATTTCGTATAGAATATATATATTTTAAAGTAGATGCAAATGTTGTTCCAATGGCAATGATCTTCATTGCCTTTGGAATTGCTTTCCGTGCATATACCCTCTTGTAAATAGAAAGGTCATTGTCATTTTTATCGACTATATATAGTCTGTACAAACTGAAATATATTTAGTATTTTTATTCATCAGATCGACCACATGTGTCAGCATCAAATGATAGCTAATATCCTACTGAGTAATTGGCTTGGAATTTAAAACTATCAGCACGAAACTCACGTTAAGCAACAAGCATCGTGTCATTTCATCGAAATGAATTAAATGGCCACGATTTCCCAGTTATTACTATCCCTATATTGATCGAACCCCAACTGATTCGATGAAGGTCGTCCATTTTAAAGCTCAAACATTGATGGACAGTCAATTGACGCTAATTTTGTCACCTATAAAAGACACCTAATTTCAGTCTGAAAAGTGCGGTTCTGAGCGAGTATGTTTTCTGTCGTGTGTCGATTATAATGTCTTATAGAAACCCTTGGTATTCTATAAAGCCAGAATTTCACATGCGCACATGCAGGTTTAATAATTCGAAAGGCCGGCGTCGAATTGAATTAGTTGTATACAAATTACACTTAAAAGAATATATTCCATAATATTCTATAAGATAATTTCGACAATCACGACTAGTCATCTCTTAGCAGAAAAGCAATAGCTAACTATTGTAAGTATCGCCAGATATTGTAACTGACTGTTAGCAAGGGCGCGTACAAATGTTGAACTTGGCATTGCTATACCAGTATATGCGAGAATCGATAGACGAACTCTCTCATTGTTTAGAAATTCCATTTTAAAGTTGTTTACGGCCGAGTGAAACTGCTAGTGTTAGACTGATTTGCCACTTTTGGATCATATACAAGTTAGCACAACCTATTGCAATCCAAGAAACAAACCTGCTGTAACTTTGATGATTCTTAAGCAAATAACTGTCGCATGCACCTGTAATATTTTCCTTATTGTATAAAGTAGCTAAATATAAGTATAAATGGTCAAGTGAGTTGCTTTGTGTTATGACATTGCCTACAAATTTGTGTTTGTTCACATTATCCGGTTTTTCAAAGGCTACACTTTCACGTTTTTTGTTAATATCTTCGGAAAGTGGGAATGTAGTAATGAGTTGGGGGTGTTTATGAGTCTCAATACCTCTTTGCTATTGGTATAATTAGAGCTGGTAGTACTAGCCAGACGCAGTATAATATTAATCATTGTTCAGTTTGAATGACTTTAGATTTTGTGGTCGAACTGAGAAATTCCTAAAAAATGGAGAATATTCGAAAGCAACGCTTTGTAAAACAGTCAGGATTGGTGTGAGTTCTACATCGGCGGTGTTGTGGTTGACATTCACAGCCAACGGCCGTCGAAATCGATCTTCATTCAAATGATTCGACAGCTGTTCAAAATGTACAGATTTCAATGTAAACAGACTGTACAAATACACGCCATGTATGAAATTCGCCTTGTCGACATAAATAATTAACTGGGTTAACATATTATTTGGATTATTCTACGCAAACCGTGTTTGTTTAAACAGAGATTTTACCAGTTCGTTAATTATCAGAAGGCGGCGAAACCCGGATTGCGCGACACAAACGAATGACAAGGTCGAACGTAGAATATAATACCTGTGCTAAACGAGCATACGTGTATGTCAGCATACTTTATGACGGTGTGAAAACATACCTGGGTAAGCTATTACGACTGGTAGAGAGAACCATGTACACAGAAGTAGACATGAAATTAATCCGAATGTCCAAAGTTGCATCTTATAACCACAACATCAAACCAGTACAAACGCCGTCTCATGAACCCGAAGCGAATCATTGTCCATATTTAAAAACTCGTATATCCTCGTTCCTTTAAAGCTTTCGCCATGACTAAACCTTGACCGATACTCAGTATTCGCTTCGATCAACATGTTTAGCGAACGATTTGGTCATCTTGATATTACATGATCAAATAAATCCGAAGGAATTTGTACAAGTAAACATTAATCTCAGGGTTTATTTAATTCAATGCCTTTGTCTCTGATCACGAAAGTGTAAACTGTTTAATATGCATACAGTGCATGTTGGAAGCGCAATGTTTTGAAAATCGCCATGGTAATTCGAAAAGACAGTCATAATTTCCCCCTTGTTGATATTATGCCATAATATTCGTTCGTGTGTCGACCGCTCTTTATGCTTACTGCTCTATGTTCGCAAAACTACGAGCATACAACGGTAAACAACTCTGAACGACGAGTTTAAAATACGAGAAAACAACGAAATTAGTCGGGTTTCGCGACGATTTGCAAACGAAACTCCTTAATGCCGGAAACTTGACTTTACGCATTGGGGTAAATATAAACGAACTCTTTGCATTATGGCTGATATTTCCGTGTCGTATAGATCAAAACAAGCTCGTGAAAAGTTGACAACGCCACATTCTAGCGAATTTTTTGGGAAAATTATGGCAATCGTGTTATTACTGATGAAGATTACACATTTTTTTACGTATAAATAATGTAAATAATACAGTTAAAGGAGCAATTGACATCATATTAATAATGTACGTATATAAGTATCACAGATATACAGTTGATACAGTTAATAGCGAAATGATTGAGGTGTTGAGTTGCAAATGCCACGGTCAGTTTTGAACGTCTACGGCTTGACTGAAAGTTTTCTTTGTGAGCCACATAGACTTTTGGCTCTTCCATACTCTTCCAACGGAAGTGTTTGTAAGTGGCAATAAACATGAAGTAATGATTGTCGCTATGGTTTCAAAACAAGAATTATATTCTGATGCTTGCGCCGCAGCAGGATACAAATTAGATTAAAAACCACAGTAACCTAGCTAGCCTACTGGGATGGGAATGCTGCCTATTTTGCCTTTTGCATTTTTCCTTTCAATACTTTGTTTTTTTGTCATTCTTAACCACTATTTATAGGGAAGATCCTTAATTTTTTGCTAGTCATCGATTTTCAAACCAGTTTCTTCGTGGTACGATTTTACTTTGTGGATGATTTATTAAAATACTTCGCCATAATAAAGAAGATGGCCGCATGTCGATATTAAATAGAGCTTTTGTTTATTTAAATCACAGAGCAATTCTCAAAGTTTGTTATGTCACATCAAATTAGTGAGGACTGGATTCCTATCAGCGTGCTTCGCGTTTTTGGCGTGCCTTCCTTTTCTGTCATCAAAGCATAATTCACTGCAAGCGAATAGTGATGTACCAATGGACACCTTGCAAGAATAGACCAAGGGCAGTTGTTAACTTTTAACTGTAGTTAAGGGCAGAATTGGCCAATCAGAGCCGTGTATCTCACAGTTAACCGGCTAGGATTTAACTATGCAAAGTATAGTTGAAGAGTTTTATACAACCTGCCCCAAAATATCAATTAGCTAACATGAAGGGGGAAAATCACTACAGCTGAGAAGAACATATTGGAATTAGTATAATTGCCAAGTTTATCTGCAATATGTCAAGTAGTACGGAAAATATAGCCATGCGAAGTTGCCATTTTTGTATACTTTTTGTATTACACGCGGAAATGTGTAATTAATTTATTACACTTTTTTGGCCATAATACTCTAAGAGTACACAAAAGTTTGCCAAGTTCGCATGGCTATATCTTCGGTATTTTACAATATTTCAGCCAATCTTAGCAATTTTACTAGGTTCAGTATGTTATTTTCGGAAATTCCCTTTTTTCGCCTGAATCAAAAGTTGATTATTATGCAAGTGGTTCTATTAAGGCCCATTTGCACTATGCGATTTGTCGTATACGATTCGTACCCTGGCGTATGTGAACGTGTGAACACACGTACAAACGTGACACTTTAAATTCCACTCTGAACTAAATTGAATGAAGATTGTGGCATAGGTCCTCTTTTGCATTCGTCAGAATGATAATTGCATACAACTTATCGTGTTATCTAAATAGGCCTTTATGCATGCAAGTTGTTTATTATGCATATTAACAGCTTTTTGAATAACTAAAACCTGCCGTGTTTCATCTGATTTTCACTTTTCTGATTTAAGTCTGAACGCGCGCTTTTCAGTGATGTTTGATGACGATTTTGTAATCGTAATCAAACAAAGTTTGACGGTTAATAGTGATGGTTGATATGATATTGTAAACGTTATAAAAATGCTGGGTGATTCATAGAGATGGTCGATGGGATTTGGTACACGTGACAAAAGTTGGATGGCTCCTGGCAAATGGCCGAAAATATATTTGTGCAGGCGTGGTTACGACAAATCAGTTTAACACTTTTTCCATGTCGTAAGTGATTTATTTTCCAATTTTTCTACTATGACTTTTCTGATTTCACAATTTCATTTCATGCCCAAAATAATTAAATACACCATTTCAAAGACGTGGAATTTGACTTGCAATCGTTAGTTTTGAAACACTTTAAGGTCTGTTCACACGATCCAATTTTGTTGGATCCAATTCACTTCTGACGTATGGAATGAAGTTGGTCGCTCTGCGTTGGTTTACAGTTGATTTGCTGTCCACATACATTGCAAGTCAACAGACTATAAAACATCCATCAGAAGTGAATTGGATCCGACAAAGTTGGATCGTGTGAACAGACCTTTAAAGGCTACTGCTTGGCATTACAATATCAGTATCGAACGATCAAGAATGATCTTTGATTCAAGTTAACCTTTTTTACGATCCATAACCTAAATCTCATAATATAAAATTTGAAATTGATAAATACAAAATGGTATTACAGTTCTATGCATGGGTACGCTATACCACACTTTTACTCTATTTACATCTGTGTTCGCATTACGTGCCATTTACCCCTGTTGTAGGGATTTTAAAATATACTCTCTTTAAAAATATTTGAGAAAAAATTCGTACGGTGATAAAGGTTGCAAGCATTGGTTTGTGAAGTCCAGAGTTCTACCTTCGTCGTCAGAATTTCCGTCCAATCAACCTTCTGAACGCAATGTCTCTATTATTCACGTTAGTGGATGTTAACCAACTTTCTGGTCAATCAACACCCTGGTGTTTTGTAAAAAGAAAGTAATTTGTAAAAAAATTTCTGTGTTCTTCTTAGACTAGAAAAGCTGCAAGTGGAGAAAAGGCAAAAAATGGAAGATAAATCCAAAACTGATTTGCATTGAACCTGAAAAAAACAAAGCAGAGAATATTATGATTAAATTATTAGTTTTGCAGCTTGCACTGACTTCTAGCGACGATTTATTTTTAACCATGAACTTCCAAGCTTAATTATGCGTGTAAAAATGGCTACCCTACTGGTAACGTCAAGTAATTAGGTCTCATTATAAAACAAAATGGCGGATAGCAAATTTGTTTGAAAATTTCTACGAAATACCTTATGTAATAAGAAGGGTAATTGTGGTAAAAAGATCAGGCAAGTAAAGTTAACGTTCCTGTTAAACGAGCGAAAAGCATTTCTATCGTCCCCATATTTAGAATCATTATTGCCTGTGTTGTTCAAAGATCAGTGGTTTAGCCTTAGGCAATGCGCTTACCACTTCCGTCTTGGGTTAGTGCAGCCGGTTTCAGATTTCGTTGAACTGCGAAAAAAGAACAATATGGTGTATGTGCTCGTAGGGTTGAAAAGAATTAACTTTCTATATTCTGATTAGCCTATGCTACGAAAGCAGCATGCTGGTGTATTCAAAAGTGGGGGCAACTGCCGCCGGTATATGAACTAAAGAGTAAACCTACGGATACAAAGCAACTTTAGGGAGGGGAGCGCTGGATATGGTTGTACATGGCAGTGCAAAGTAGTACATAGTAGTACATAGCAGTACATAGCAGCACATAGCAGTGCATAGCAGTACATAGCAGTACATAGCAGCACAGTTAATAGAATATAAATGGTTTGGAGACTAAATGAAAGTACAATACAACTCATTAACTATGTTATTGTCCACGTTTATGCAAAAAATGGTTCCTTTCTCGTCACGTGTCTATTGTATTTTAGCCAAACGTACCAATGGCATTCGTCTTGCTAAGCTCATCAACCTTGACTTGAAAAAAATGTTAATTATAAGATTGCTATTGGTTTATCTGTGCAAAATACAATAGACATGTGATGCGAAAGGAACAATTTTTTGCATAAATGTGCCTCAACATACTTAATGAGTTGTATTGTAGTATTATATGGTCTCCAAACCATGTATATTCTATTAACTGTGATAGCAGTACATAGCAGTACATAGCAGTACATAGCAGTACATAGCAGTACATAGTTCTACATGACAGTATATAGTAGGACATGGTAGTACATAGTAGGACATGGTAGTACATAGTAGGACGTGGCAGTACATAGTTAGACATTGTAGTACATGGTAGTACACAATAGTACACAATAGTACATGGAACGCGTATATTGTGATGAGCTGGTGAGGTCAGTGCTACAACTAGGGTATAAATTAGAGATGGCGCTATAAGGCATGTTTTGGTATGCTATATATGATTCAAATCACCACCAACAATACTTACCACATTCCCCACTGTAATGAAATTCGATTGGTTTGTTACTAGCGCATATCTTTGAGTACAAAGAACAGATATTGGGATATGTTTGTCCATCAGTTCCACACACAGGTGTATAGTCGAGTGTGCACATCTGAAACACTTTTGAACATGTACACAGGTGGCTGCCGTTAACCACGGTGCAATTTCCTACGACACATGGGTTCGGCTCACAGCTCAACACGGATAATGTTTTTGTTGCCGTTGCTTTGGAAGAAAAGGAAGAGAATTGGATTTTAAATACTTTAAAATATTCAGACATGTTTTTGCATGTCTGTGAAGACATTAAAACATAATCTTTTCTACTAGAATATAAACTTTTCAGCGACGTTTCTTATATTGGGCTAGCCTACTGATCTAAGCATAGTGCTAGCTATATCCACCAGACATGGTGCCTTTTTTAACAGTTGCAAAAATGCTTAAAATACAGTAAAATTACAGAGCTAACAATCATTTGAAAGAATCCCTAATTTAGGTTCATTAAATCAAGGTTATACTGAAAAACGTGATTTTAATGCGATTGAAAAAAACACAGTAGAATCGGTAAGAATCCATGTTAGAATTATGCACTTGTATTCGCAATCGTGTACGGCTGTATTCAAAAAGCACACTCACACTCACACGTATTAAGAGTGACATTGAAATTTTGTTATTATTGATTAATGAGAAAGTTTTGTATTAATCGGTGGAAAGACACAAGGTGAAACACTGAAATCATGTTCCTATTTGAGTGGAAAAACCGCCATGGAAATTTTATGAGAAGATCGAGATCCCCCATTCAACGAGTTTGAGTGGGCATGAGTGAGCTTTTAGAATACAGGCGGTTGTGATGTCATGCATCGTTGCCCAGTATGTACTAAAAATTTAGGAATATCTCAAGAGCTATGGACAGAATAATTCGATTTCACTCACCATCAATTCCAATCAGAGCTTGTACAACAACTACAAAAAAAACAAACAAACAAAATATTAGGAGTTTCTCGCCAAAAGCAACAGAAAGTTTCCGTCAGCATAGTTTTAATGTTGAGAAATGGCGCTTCTAGTTAGCTTCCTAACCAGCAAATACAAGGACCATACTGCACGTAGTAATAGTAACTATTGTTTTTAAAAAATGATGAAAGTTTTTAAAATTTTTCACTAAGAATTTAACAATGTATTTTATTTAATAATTCATATTTTATAATCCCTTTATCATGATTTATTACGAAATGTTTTTTGTGACGTTTTCGTTGATTTGAAGGATGTGGCTGTTTATGAATACACTTTAGGAAAATCCGTATCATTGTGACAGGGAATTATCAAAGTTTTTGGATAATGATGGTGCAAAGAGTGTTGTTAATTGCAAGAGATATCAATTCTTAATGCCGAAATCTGGATACAAACTTAAACGAAAACCGAAAATTTTGCCTGAAAGAGAAGCAATATCGCGTTTGCATGAACTAATAACAATACTTCGGTCCGTTTTGGTAGGAAAATTCTATGCGAAATATTTTCGAAACTAAAGCCTCTTACAGACGAGCAAATTTTTTATGACAAGTTTTTATGTGACAAGTTCTAATTGTTCGTCCGTACGCCCAACTTTGACATTTTTTTCTATGACAGTATACTTGATTTTGAACAAGTGTACTTGTCATAGAAAAAATTGTCAAAGTACAAATTTCGCTCGTGTGCAAACAAAGAAAACTTGTATGAGTTTCACCAGCGGACCATTGTATTTTGCAGTGGCAGCTAGCATTAGCGCTGTACCCTTGACTGATTTGGCGTTAAAAAACTGCTCAGGTCAAGTTTAGAGGAAGTTTATGGAATATTGATTCGGAATCATATAGAGATAGAAACAAGAAAGATTGAATTAAGTTATTTAAATTACAACCTTACGTTATTGCATTATTCAGAAATGAAATATTAAAATCGCACCTAATAGCGCGCTTATGTTTACCGCTGTACGATTACATCGCTGGCTGCAAACTAAATTGTCAAAGTAAACATGTTGGCACTTACACCCGAGCAAATATAAAACTTGTCAAAGAAAACTTGTCGTATAAAACTAGCTTGTCTGTAAGAGGCTTAAAAGTTTATACAAAATTATTCTCTTGTTCTTTAAGAGACGGAAAAGGTTAGAAATTACTATACTGGTTCCTTTCTTTTTGCAGTTAAGGTCATACTGTCATAAGTTTACTTACAAGTAGTAATATAAAGTTAGATATCGTTTTCGTTTTCAGGTTTTTTGTTGAATAAGACAAGTGTTCTCATTTTTGTTCGGCATGCCAAAACGGTTTTAAACACCATCAATTTAAAGTTGAAGTTGAAGCTAATTTAACATATTAAGCATATTTTCCCTTGGATCGTGTGGACAAGGCGTCAAAGCGATTAAAACGATTTTGAAAACGCTTGAAAACGACGCTCGTGTGCACATGCTACTTCAAGTTTCAAGCAATCAGCATAAACAGTATGCAAAATAGGAATTAATACGGCCAAGCTATATGACGTTCAGTTAAGCTGTTGCCGTGTTATTAGCCTGTGTCGGCAGTGTCGCATGCAACGGGGGCCGGTTGTATCAAGCCCGTTTAGCTTAAACGGTGGATAAGTTCAAAATAGAAATCAAGTCTAGCGTTTTATTTAACAAGCGAACTAAATGCTTTTAATCTTAATACAAAGATACTGTTTACAACTACATATTCAGTGCATAATATTCAAGTTGACTCTTTCCAGAGAGATTTTAAGAGTGTTATTTAATATTGACTTATCCACCGTTAAAGCTAAACGGGCTACATTAAAACGTTTTGCATGCAAACCTCGAAAACATCCAAGAAAAGTACATGTTTGCTGTATAATCTCAAGAAGAGATATCTCGGGTCACACTAAGAACAAAATGACACTTGAATAGAAGCTACTTTTGTACTCATTGCATTAATGATAACTGCGTTGAAAAAATATTGTCTTGACGACCACTAAGTACATAATCCACGTAAGAAACTACATAATCTAAGGGATAGGGCTAAAATAAATAAATTATGAGTGCACGGCGAAAAGATTTGACGTTTCCAACGTTTTTCTGTCAAAATACTCGACATGTAAAATATATCGTCTTGAAATTGTGTCAGGTGGTTGCTTCTCCCAATGAAAGATGCAGAATAGCTGCGTATTCGTGTCAATTTGAGAACGGGCGTCAAAACATATAAAATTTCATACATACAACGAGAATTTAGGCTTGGCTGTGATAGTAAATACCCTACCTTTAAAAAATATCGCCAATGTCCATAAGCAATTTTTCATCTTGACGCCTAATTGGTTTTTCACGAGTATTGTTGCAGCATTAACGCTTTTGACAGTTGGCCGTCAAACTGGAATGATTGATCACAGCTATTAAAGTCTCTCTCCTCCCAAGAGGCTTCGAATGCAAATGCGCTAGATTTTTGAAGATGACCGCTGCTGCTGAAATTAGAAACGCGGGCGAGGGTTAGGGAGAGGGAAAATTGAGGAAGCCTCTGCCAGATTTGCTTTCCAGCATGGCATCAAACCGGGGGCGGGGTGTATCTTGCAAATGTGGAAATAACTCCGCTACTTTCCATGCAATAAATCTCTGCGAGTCATTCTTGATCAATGCATTCGGCATTATTTGAGGATATTTTGAGTTTATTTGACCCAAGTACGAACTCTAGAAAATTCGCAGAAGCTGCATGGCTAAAATATAAATTTATGCAGCGTCGTATTGCGGTTTGTGATCAGCGAAATACTTTTCGTAATTTCTCTTAAAATACGAACTATATATCTTCCATTCTGAATGTCATTCTTTATATGGATATAATTGATTGTATTATTGAACTTTTGATTCGAAAGCGCTCGCCGTTTATTCAGGAAAATTCGCAAATCGCAGTCAATTAGAAACGGCTTTTCTCATTTGACTCAAACAACAACATCACACTTGCGAAATAAAATCCCTCGCACCGACCACTCGTGCGCTTAGAGGAGCTCTCATCAAAAGTCCTTTCTTCACAGTTATCATAAATTGTCCTGATATATTGTCCTGTTGTTGCGGATAGCAACAACATTTCAGGATGTCCCACTTTTCGAGTTCTTGTGCTAAAAATCGAAGCAAATCTGGCAGGGGCTTCCTCAATTTTCTCTCTCCCTAACCCTCGCTCGCGTTTCAAATTTCAGCAGCGGTTATCTTTAAAAATCTAGCGCATTTGCATTCGAAGCCCCTGCGGAGGTAGCCTGCGGTGCAAACGCTTCGAATTAAAAAGGAACACACTTTTTTATTCCTTTGTAATTCGAAGCGTCTGCACCGCAGGCTACAGCGGAGGAGAGAGTATTAAAGTAGAGTATGTAGGCTTGAATTTTGATTTTGTGATCTCGTTTGGGCCTACAGTGGGTCGATGGGTTAATTCGGGTTGCGTGAGCCGTGAGGTCTGAGGAGGTTTGAACTTCGCGGATTTCAAAATAAACAATACTATACTTTATAGACTTTTAATTCGATATTAAATCGCTTAGAAATAACCATCAATCGTGCGAGTTGAAGCTAAATAAGAACAAAAAATCTAGGGTAGATTTTGTGATCAACTTAACAATTAACATATTGTGATACTGACGTGTCTGTTCAATACTTATGTATGAAATAATCACGTTCATGGAGAATAACAAATTGTATACTATCTTACTTTGGTCTCCTCACTTTCTCTTTGCGTTGCTTGTAGCCAAAATTCAATATAAGGTCTGAAATATGAGTTGTACCTTTCTTTCTTAGTAGGTTTGGTCTGTCTTCAACGAGATTTGATCACTAACCTTCCTTGCTCGAGATGCATGCCTCTCAGGGCTCAATGCCAATGGCACTTTATCCTAGTATCAAATTTCTGATTATACTCAGTAGCGTAGCCAGCCTGAGGATTTGTCACCGCGATGCTAATATTTTGGTGTTCATTGACGGTAAAAACAATAAATTTCTAAAGAAATGAATGACTCGAAATTTACATAGCGGGACAAAATCTTCAGGCTGGCTACGCCACTGATTATACTTATTAGCCGAACTAACAGAGCACAGTGTCTCAGATTAAAAGATTATTCAGCTAAGATCACATATGCGACATTGGAAGTTTGATAGACGTATAAGTCAATATAAAATTGGCGTGCATGTTGAATCCGTGACAGGTTAGGCAGAATGACATGGACTCAAGTGGCCTAAGATGAATTCTTAAGATGACGATATGACGTTTTACATTAAGCTGAATTTTTTTATCAAACGAACTTTTATATCGCCTAATTTTCTTCTCAATTGTGTACGTTGGGTCAAGGCAATCCGCTAGGATCCAACTCTTACGATTGCAAAGAAAATCATGCGGAGAAAATTCCGTTTCCTTCGGGCGCGTGCGCTATAGCGAATAGAACATTTATTAATAAAAGGTGATAATATGTTTAAACTTTTAATTTTTACGACCTGCTGTCTAATATCTATCTTGAGCAAGCAAAAGACAGTAGTTCGTCTTCTAAACACGGGCAAACAAACAGATGATCCGTCCAAACGAATTTTTCGCATAGTTCGTCTAGTTAGTCTTCTCGACGCATCATCTGTCTGTTAGTAGGGATATTTAGCATGAAGAGCGCCAGGGAGCGCTGCCACGCTGCTCCCTGGTTATGTTGGAACGTATATTCGTCTACATATATACATAGTTCGTCCGGATAGTTCGTCTTGTGTTTAACTCACGTGAATGATCTCATAGAGTCGAAACATGTGATATTTGGAGCCCTTCAGTTTCGAGTACGCAGGAACCGAGGTAGCTACGTTAAGATTCGCAACTGACAAAGACCATTTGTGTGCATTTTTAGCACCGACAAAGTTACGCCATAAGTAAATAGCAACCAAATTCTCAAACACTGGGATCAGGGGATTAAATGAAATATTTAAACATTTAACCAGGAACAGCCTTCGCACAGGATTGACCCTACGTAGAGAATTCCCTAAACAGCCTTGTAGAGAATTCCCTTGGGAACGAGATTGGCAATCCGAACATGAACATCATGGGTTCAGGCAGTATTTATGCCCATGGGTAACCTAGTATTTAGATAGATTTACTCGCATGTTTTTGCTAAGAATACTAACACCCAAATGTAACGATTGTGAATGAAAACCGGTTCATTAAAGTTTTAATTATTGTATAGCATTAATTGCCATATAACGGGCATTGAAGCGTACTTTTTAATGTACAAACGAACTGGTTAATCAGTCAGAATTGGCATTGCTTAGCTTCGGGCAACTGCGGCAGTCAGGAGGCACAGAACAGACTAACTGTTATGGTCTCTGTAAGTAATTAATAAGTGATAATTTTGCGTTGTCTTCATTGTAAACGGCGTAAAGTCGCATATACACGACACACGTGCACGAAATGTTATTGTTAGTTATAACATGCCTTCTGAAAGAAATTAATAGAACTGAACTTACCCTGCTTAATTCGCCAACTGAAAATGGGCTCGATTTGAGCTCAAACACAATCACAGGAATTCGTTAAATATCGTTCACTATTGCGCTTATCTGCTCGTCTTAAACAAGAATCCTTTCAAGCAGCGAAGGCGGACAAAAAAATTTGTCCTGCTATATGCCCGGACTACCTCGGTGTGCCTGAGTGATTGTGAAAACAAAGAATTTTTGAAGAGTGCATGAGTCATTATAATAATTTATAAATTTATTAGATCGCGAGATTAGCTCCAAACAATGAAAGACAAATTTCCGAAGCTCCAAATAAAACAAGTACGATCGTACTACAGGGTGTCTCAAAAAAAACGCAACCACTTAAATATGCAAGAATATTAATATTGTTCGGGTTTACACCATAGTTCAGCTAAAATCTATTGCGCTTTAGAGCTGTATTAATGTTCTGCATATTTAAGTGGTTGCGTTATTTTTGAGACACCCTGTATAGTGGACCAGGAACTGCGTGATCGAGTTTCGATCTTGTGAAAATCGTTAAACGCTCAAGAGCTCCAAGATTATGACTTGAAAAACAAACCAGACACAGTACTAAAATGCGGTGCCCGCAATGCTTGCCTAGAAATAAAACGTCCGCTCATTTCTAACGACATCACCAACTTACATTCTCTTGTCGGCCGCAGCCTGGTTGGTTGGTACATTAAGGTCAAAATTGCGCCGTTTTAAAATCTTCAGAAATAAAATATTGAGGCTAAAAATACTATCTAAAAATACTATCAAAATGAAGAGAAACGTGAGACGAATAAACTGGTGTAGAGCCGGAAACTAGAAGAGCAACGATACTAAGACCGATCCACTTATTTAAGGACGAAAATTAAAAGAGAAAACCAACGATATGAAAGATATCAAAGACCAAACTTACTATTACTATAAAAGTATAGCATAGTAATTTTGAGCGATTTGTCAACAATTCAATTTCGTTTGTCTTTCAAACGTCATAAATCGCTGCGAATACTCTTGATTAGTAATATATTTAAGACCTGTAAGTATAATTTCTTACGCTGAATCGAATGGTGGTATTTTTGTCCTTCTTGGGTGCATAAAAGCAGAGATACACGCAATTATCAGAGTTTGAGATTGAAATTGAAAAAAGAACGTTCCTTTAAAAAAGGAATTTGGCAAACGTACAACAAGATTAATAGTAATAATTAGGAAAAAATTCCAAGCATTCCAAGCATGTGCAAGGAATTTTTACTAGGCGATTAAGGAAACGTATTGATGCGAACAAACAAACTCACAGGCAGAATATAATGCGGTGCCAAACTTGGCGCGGGCACCGCAATAAAGCTTATAATTAATCATAATTAGTCGTCCACATTCGTGAGCAGCTTTACCGGGATTAACTGTGATTGTACTTACAACAATACAGAGGACAATGTATTTCTAATCGTTAGCCTTTACTTATATATAGGCTGAATATTAATGATATGTATATACAGGGTGTATCAAAAAAAAGGTAATCCAACTTTGGTGCGCTATTGTACGTGAACTACTCATTCTATTAACGAATTTTTTTCACATTCCGAAAGTTTAGGCTTTTAACTATCAAATAACATGTTTTTGATACCAAATGGTGAAAAAATGAGCAAATAGGAGGCCGATAAAAAGTGTTAGTCAAAATCGCATATTTTCACCTCTGAGAGTTGGGACTAAAACCATTGAAAATTAACTCTCTTTGGGATTAATTGAAGAATTTTGCTTTTGAATAAACTAACCGCATATGCATATTAAGTATGAATAAATCACATCAGGAGAACATTCCAAGCAATGCGGCATAAAAGTGATAAAACCAGTGTAAGCTGTGACATGTTCGTGATTAATTGCTCTTTTCTTTTGTTATGCACTGCTTTAATTAGGCTCAAAGGTGAAAATATGCGATTGCGACTAACATTTTTTATCAGCCTCGTATGTGCTCACTTTTTCACCATTTCGTATTAAAAACATGTCATCCGATAGTTAAAATCCTGATCTTTCCGAAAGTGAAAAAAATTCGTTCATAGACTGAGTAGTTCACGTACAATAGCGTGTTGAAGTTGGATTACCTTTTTTTTGATACACCCTGTATATATTATTTGCTGCAAATATAGTCAAGAATTGCTTGAAACTTGCTTCAAAGGTCAAAAGTAAAAATTCGAACTCCGTCAATCGATGCGGTTAGGGACCAGTTCCTGGTCCAAGAATAGACACGTGCCCAGTGCTGTAGCTACTCTGACAATGACCTGCTATGCTAATATTTTTCGCACACATTGATTATATAAAAAACCCAAATTTTTAAAGAAATGAATAATGAGAATGACTTGGAAATTTGCATAGGAAGCCCGTTTGCGTATCAAGCCCGTTTAGCTTAAACGGTAGTTATTAAGTTTAAAATAGAAAGCAAGTTTATCGTTTTATTTAACAAGCGAACTAAATGCTTTTGACTTTAATACAAAGATACTGTATACAACTACATATTCAGTGCATATAGAATTCAAGTTGACTCATTCAAGAGAGATGTAAGAGTGTTATTTAATTTTGACTTATCCACCGTTTAAGGCCCTGTTACACGGTGCAATTTTTCTTGCAACTTGCAATGCAATTCTACTTTTGAGATATGTATATTTGGAAAAAACGAAAATTTTGTGTTTATTACACTTCATGCTTTTTTCTTCTGCAAGACTATTCGCTAATTTACATCTCTTACAAGCAGAATTGCATTGCAAGTTGCAAGAAAAATTGCATCGTGTAACAGGGCCTTTAAGCTAAACGGGCTTGATACAACCCGCCCCCTGGTGTACAAATGCATAGTTTCCCCCCCCCGCCCACGTATCCGTGCGAGCAGAGAGCAAATTTGCATACGTATATTGGCTTTTATACTGCAAGAATTTGCTTTCTTTGCAATCACACGTGGGGACTGAAGTATTGCCCTTCAGTAACTCTCAATTAGGAAGTTTATTACGATGTACGACGCGGCTAGTTCGACGTCGCTAGTCAATTATTTCGCTAGAAATAAGCTACGAGAAGTTAATTATGCTGCCAGTACTCTAAAATAATCATATAAACGTTTCAATTCTGCAAAGAACCTCTTTTGTCTAGCAGATATTGCAGTTTCATATAAGCTATCTGCTTTCATGTCATCGAGAGGCAGTGACAATGCCTCAATTGAAGGCGTCGTAAAGCCGGTTTTCCACTAGGCGGAATTTTTCGACCGCACGAAATTTTTCGTTCGATTTTCTTTTCAATAAACACTTCCCGAATTTGTTCTCGGGCCTCGTTTCCAAGCTATTGTTCTGCGTGCACCTACGAAATCTATTGTGACCGGCGAAGGGAATCCGCGACGGTTGAACTCGCGCCATTGAAAAGAATACCAGACGAAAAATTTCGTTCGGTCGAGAAATTCCGCCTAGTTGAAAACCGGCTTAAGGGACAGTTTACATGAGCCCGGTTACCCGAGATTTTTACGAAGCGTGAGATGATTTTGAGGTATTGAAATGAGCAGATAACTTGATCCTGGCAGTCGTATAATCACCATAACAATAGCATGTGCTTGTTTGGTGTCATAAAGACTTATTTCAATACCTCAAAGTCCTCTCACGCTTCGTTGAATCTCGGGTAACCGGGCTCATGTAAACAGCCCATAAGAATGAGAACGCTGTCATTGGACCACAATTTACTGATGTATAGCTATATTGTCTCGCGTGTGGAGTTTCTTGGTTTTCCAAACGCGTCGTCCAGCTGGCCGCGTCGTGAATCGTAAACTTCCTAGTGTCGGAAGCCCGCGTTCACACTGGACCGCGGTCGAACTTGGGACCATGCTCGAAATGTGTTCACATAACGTTTGTCAATATTTGGGCAGGTAAGGAAGTTTAATGAGGAAGTGTAACTGAATTGCATATTTATTAAAATCTTATTTATTACAAATTCATTTCAAAAATTTAGGGTATTGTACAGGGTGTCCCTCCAAAAAAGTCCCGCCTACTGAAATGAAGCTTTTGTTGGAATTTGAATGCATGATCAACTCAGTAGTGTCTAAATAGCATAGTTATTAGGTTAAAGCATTCAAATAAAGCGTCTTGCTTTCAATTGGGTTTATGATAATATTAAGGCAGTCAGATTCTACTGAACAAAGGCCTGATTTCAATAGAGGAGAAATTTTTTTAGGACACTCTGTATATTCAATACAATACTGCAGCTCGTGTTGTGAAAATTGCTTAAAATTCGTTCAGTAATATACTAAGTGCAGGCGGTTAAAAACTTAAAACATGCTAATTTAACTTTAATCGTTTTGCTTTTGTCCCTATTTCGCCCGCTAAAGTTAAACGTAAAAAATGAATAAAATAATTGCGTACGATCAGAAAACACTTTATAACTTTGCTCTGTTCTGCGTGCGGTCAATGTTAATTAAGGAGTTTGTCAGCTAGATTCATGGCTAAGGCAGCCATTATGCAGGTTGGGTTCAACGAACCGGCAACTGGCCAAAGGGCACCTCCGGTGAGATACACATTTCCCACACCTCTGAATCGATAATCCAAATCAACAGGCGTTGATTCATCGTACTCACCTATCCACATAGTCGATGCCGGGTGAACCAAACGATTACGACGAATTTTGTCTGGAGGAGGGCGATCCCTTTTCCAGCCTTCTTCGGGGTCATGCCAGAACTCCAACTGACATGGGTCGTCAGGATAATCTTCTCCCATTGCAAAAGCATTTTCAAGCATTTCAAAAGTGGATTCCTCCATAGTATTCCAGAGTTGAAGGTCCGTCTCATTAGTCACGGCTTGGAGGGTGGTATTGTAAGTGGCAGCTGCATGATTATCACGAACAATTTCCTCACTGCTAGGAACTTCACTGTCGAGCCGAAACCAATTATTTTCATTTCGATAATCGAGCCCACCGATAATTTTGCAAACCAGAAGTAAATGTGGCGGGTCTTTAGACGAGGTTTCTTTCTTGATCAAGAACGCAGGCAGCACATCTGGATATTGATGTTCTGTTGTTTTAGTGTCGTCACGTGGGGTGCAGTCTAGAATTGCTGAAAGTTGAATATGGAAGTGACCCTCTTGATTCGGGTTCGTTCCCGGGATATGCATGGCTGCTACCTCGAATCGTCCCACGATTTCGTCTTTAAGATTGTGAAACACGCTCCAGGGACGCGAATCCTTACAAAATGGAACACGTGCGAGAATAGAACTCCTAAAATGGGCCGTGAATCGGCTGCCAATACCAGAGAGTGGCTTGAAAGAAGACGGAGGAAAGGAATTTAGCATGAGAGTAGTTGCTGGAAGTACGCCCATTGCCAGAATGAGTTTGGCGTTTCCAAGCTTGACGTTTCCTTCGCTTGTTTCAAGAGATACAGCATTGCAATTTTCATGCACTATCTTCTTCACCTCACAATTAATTTTTATTTCCAATTTCTTTTTCCGTAACAGTTCAAGCAAAGGATCAGCAACTGTGGTCTTTTGGATGCGTTCACATCTACAAGTTTAAAAAAAAACTCAGGGAACTTATATAATAGGAGGGTAGTGTCGCAGCTCCTCGCAAGAATGATTTTCATTGGCTGAACTTTACAATACATTTCTGTTTCAACCAATAGCATAGCTTCGTACTTTAGAAAGCATAGAAAAGCACTATCCAATTGGAAGAAAGTTTCCGAGCACTGCGACATGTCCCACGTAGGAATACGCTGGGTTGTAGCACAAAGCAGATTAAAAGCATATAATGATATATGCTTGCGAGTTATGAATGATACATTGTTTTATTATATGGGTATAAATATTTTTATTTTCAATCTAGGAGAGCGTCTTCTAACCACATTCCAAAGAAAAATATGCATGTATACATTTTTCAGGTTAGCCTTGAAAGTTTAAAACGATTTTGGTATCCCTTATGTGATTATATAGAAATTACAAAGCTGTAAATCTTATATCGTCTAACTACTATATATACTTGCAATATAATTGTTAGTTGCAGAAATGACATTACTGGGGAACCTGTTAAAGGTAATATGAAAATATGAAAAAATTTTCATAACAGTAACTGAGTTTCTGCTCGTGAATCATAAAATCATTTAAATGATACTTATGAAATCAACGATTGAATAGACGCATAGGGTTAGATTCTGTTGACAATTTCGCATGTTTTTTCTGAAATAAGATTTATTGTACAGCAACTGAGAAGGTTTTAAGCTTTTACGCAAGTATGTAAACGTACGTACAAAAAATGCGACGATGGAAAGCAGCCTTTAGCCCCTTGATTAGTTATGCTTCAATCAGACGTCAATGGCCGTAACAATTTATGTATAAATAATTTGTAGAGAAATTTATTAAAAATGAATCAGAGCGTAGTGTTTACAAACTTAAATCGTTTCTCACAAACGCCCACAAAACATCGATTTAGGCAAAGCAAAAATAACCAGGCCCTCAACAGGTGGCCTAAGAAAGCGTGGTTTGTTTGCGAGGCTTCAAAGCATTCCATGTCCCTCAATACTATGTGAAATAAACCATTTGCTGAGCAAATTCATAGAAATCTTGAAGCTTTGAAAGTTTGAAAACCAAATCAAATCAAATCTCAATTTTTGTATACCCAGCGTTAAGTCGTTATCGTGACAAAGCAAATTTCTCATTGCCGCGGTTATTTGCATAGGTAATAACGCGGTTTCGAGTGCAATTTGGATATAATAACATGCACGAATGAGTTTTTCAAAGATTTCTCAAAATAATATTCCAGGTCTTCGAAATACTCACGAGTCGAACTCTTCATGTGTTGAATTTTTCATGCAGCGAATCGAATGCAAAAGTGAACTTAAAGAAAGACTTCGACGTCTGAAACAGGTCTCAGCATGCAAGTTACCGACGAACTTGGCATGTTTGGACCTGTCAGGAATCAGGCACAATCCGCAACAACCACATAAATATGACTTCATTGATATTTTTAAAAACACCAATATTATCTCGATATTGAATTAAACGGCAATATCAATTTTAAACCGGGTAAATTATACATTTATACTGCCCATGCAAAGGTTAAATAACTGTAATTTAATATTCTTGTATGTTTGCATGCTGACATCAACAAGTAAATTAGCTTGTAAGTACACCACGTAAGTATTTAATACTGCAAAGCTTTCGGCCCTTTTGCACTGACGAAGGCCGGGGTTAACGGACCGAAAGCTTTGCAGTTTACACTTACGTGGTGTACTTACAAGCCAATTTACTTAAATATAATTTGGCCGGAATATGCCGCTAGCTAAAGATATTAGCGATTATTATTATTATTACGTAATTTTTTACACAGGGTCAGTGAAACATTTCAGTGTTCAAAAGACCGGCTAAATCAACGCTAATGACTTTAAATACCTGGATTTATCCGGGCTAATAGCAAGCATGGCGTGACTAACTTCTGGTAGGCACGATTGAATTCTTTCAACAAGAACGTTTTGAAGTTTGCCAAAAACACGATTGTCGTTGACGTGCTCATTCATGCCAATCGTATTTGCAGACTTGACATTTAGAAGCTCAACTGCTTCTGGAAAGTATTTTTCGACAACATTTTTAACACTGTCCGGCCAACCATCCAGATCTTCTCTAGTCGGTTGGGGACACCAACCGCGCCAAAAAGCCGACTGCCCTCCAAAGAAAATGTTCACCCCGTCCAGATCTTTGATGTATTCTTCATCCTGCATTTTCCTCGTAATATTCCACGGAAATGTCTTTGTGGAATATGTCAATTCCCTTTTTTCGGAGGGTTCATGGTCTTCGAAGTGCTCCCGACGATATTCGCCGCATTCGAGAATAAGAACTTTCGCTTCTGGGTTGTTCGACAAGATGCGATGAGTAAAGGCCCACGCACAAAACGATGATCCAATCACAACATAATCGAAGCAAACTTGTTCACGACATTCCTGCCATCGTTTCCCGCTCATAAATTCGTCGTTTGATTCGGAGAATGCCTGACTACAGCACTGGTGGGATTCTCCGTCGCCCATGACGAGGCAAACTTAATTTGAGTTTACAAACTTGAACTTTTAAATCTTATTTCCTGTCGCATTTCTTGGAAGTGAAACGTATTATGTTGCATTCCATACGGTTTAACAATAGTAATTATATGTATACAGTATACGTACAAGGAAATATGCCATGTTATCTTTTTAAAAATTAAGTTGGTTCATTGTAGCTGCTTTTATCTTATTCTTCCGTCGCCCGTTGCTAAGCCTTTATATTAAACATATAAGCAAAATTCAACTTTCGATTTGCACTTCCTTTCTTGGAAGCAGCTAGGCCGGGTTTCCCCTCAAACCACCGGCGGTGAAATGATTGGCTCGCAAAATATTTGCATTTTTAATTTGAAACGATACTCTCAGGGTGAACGAATTTCTTTCCGTAATTATTCAAAAAAATATATGTAAATATATTTCGCTAGCGAACTGTTGGAATTGGAAATCCTTACGAAAACCGATTTTCATGCAGTGATTCATCCGTTCATATGCTGTTAAGGTTTTTATGCTTGCACCTCATGGTTTGTATTGACGTAAAAGCGATATTTGTGATTGATTGTCTGCATGACGTCTCCCCTCGCTGTGTTTCTATAATTCGCACTTTCGAGCAAAATGAGTTGAATATCAAATCGCAAAATGGAAAACACGCTGTGTGATAGAAATATTTGGAAGAACAAGCCGCAGCCAGAAAAAAAGCCGGCAGGAACATGTGCAAAAATCTGGCTTACTTAAAGCCCCGTTTACACTAGGTAATCGTGCCCATTTCATCTGTGCTTGGCCTTTGTTTTGGTAGCCTGAGCACCAATACAATTGGGCACGGGTAACTATTTTAGCCGTGCCGTGCCAATAAATTGGGTGTAGTGTAACACGGCATGGCTAAAATGGCTACCCGTGCCCAATTTAATTAGTGCTCAGCCTACCAAAACAGAGACGGGCACCCATTTTGCCGGGCATCATATTCGGCAAATTTTCTCTCAGTTCAGAGGGCTTAGTTTTCCCCGGTCTTCGCATAAAAAATTAAAAGCTTTTCGTTTCACGCACTGCTCTCATACTACAGTCAATTTATTCGAACGCATGGCTAAAACGGGTACCCGTTAAACTGTCTATACGAATAATTATTGACTTCAGTGGAGAAATGTGAGATATAGGGCAGTTGAATATATGAGACATTACGATAAAGACTAAAGTGAGAAAGCAAGGGTGATAATTTAAGCCGTTCCGTGCCAATAAATTGACTGTAGTGTAACGGGGCTTTCAAAACCAGGACTCTAATCCGACACTGCGGAAATTGGTAATTCTTAGTCGGAGCAAAAAAATTTATAAATGCTTAACAAAATATAACTTATACTAAAGATTTGAAGCTTGCACACGGTAAAAACGAATCGTCTGAATTAATAAACCTCTATATATACTTAAGCCTCAAATGTCTATTTCACAGCCGTCAGATGTGTACGATCAGCTGTCAAAAGATTGCAGAATGCGTATTCAGGAGAAAAGATCGCGTTTCAACATTTTTGAACTTGTTTAATAGTATTCTCTTTGATATATAGCAATACAGAAATGCACAATTAGGAACCAGTGGTTAATTCTCGGGTGGAAATTTCATACATACCATTTCCTGCGGTGTTCTCTAATCTACTGAAAACCGTGAAGCTCGAACTAAAGAAAACTGTGCTCGTCGACAGAAAATCCGCACTCTCTGAAACCTCGAAGATTAGCATGTTCGATATCTTTATAATATTTACAATTCGCATGCATTTAGTAAGTATTCTCTAGGTTTGGACAGAATAGCTATAGGAGGAATGTAAAGTGAAATGAATTCTACCAAGCAAAGTGGAATTCTGTTTTAAACTAATCAGCATATTTGTTTACAATTTTTACACAAGGCCGATCAGAGTGCCTAAATTTGTAATACTTCATGTAGAATGGTAAATAATGTATCTTTTAAATTAATTTACCTCGATTAATCCGTGATTTCAAGAACGAATGAAAGCAAAACACGACACAAGACAACATATATTAATGCAAAATGGAAATAATGTTTTATTTCTCGACTAAAACTACTTTTTAACGAGTATCAGTATCAATTTCATGCCGGTTGACTTTCTCATACAGTTTATCCGTGTTAATAATAAATGCTAAACTCTTCGGGAGGTACTTTACAGCACGTTGCGACCATTTTCGTTCGCATTGGCGCAGGCGAATTGTCATCGTTCTTTCCAGTGCAGTCGTCTATTAAACATCCTTTGAGACCAGACGACGACTTTCTCTCTTCGCATTCATCAAAACCAGTTGCGCTGCATTCCTGAAGTCGCTCATAGGAACCACACCACACTGCAGTGCCAATGTTTTCGACTTCTCTACAATCTAAACAAAAATCACACAAAGTAGTAGTTTCAAATAGTACTTTGAATTAGCTATTGCTTAAATTGCATTGCCTAGGCGTATAGCTGCTTTATAGTTTGATCAATAATCGTGACCTTTATTTATTCTTATTTTACTGTTATTTTGCAATTAACTGTAAAAAAATTTCTCAGGCACCTTCAGAAAGCAAACTTCGGTATTGAGCAAAACGTTAGAATGCACTAAGCTTAAAATTACGTCAACTGCGAGTTACTTTATGCTCCTGTAACATGATGTTTTCTGACTGATTTCTATTGCTATGATTTGCCGTTAATACGATCAACATCCCTCCTCAGCTAAACTGAAATGTCTGTCATTGTCGCGAGTTGAGGGTCTTTACCACTCTCGTCGCAAAAACCTACTCACAAGGCACAAGCTCGCTACGAGCGCTTGCATGTAGTTAAAAGCATTTTCATTGAATGAAAACCCTCCCAGAGAGCTTGCGAGTTTGCCATTGCGATGAGAGAAAAAGAGCCTTTACTCGTAGATTAGATACTCGTTGCTCCCACACTTGTAACTCTTTACTGTATATAGTACTGTGTGCATATTGAAGACTTACTTTCATCGCCATTACTGCTTCGATACTCCTCTCCTCCATCGCCCTTACTGTAACGATAACCCATTCTTTCATCGCCCTTGCTGTAACCATAACCCTCACTTCCTTTATTGCTATGATTGCCCTCACTTCCACCGCCCTTACTGTAACGATATCCCTTATTACTTTCATCGCCCTTGCTATAACCATAGCCCTCACTTCCTTTATTGCTATGATTGCCATCACTTCCACCGCCCTTACTGTAACGATATCCCTTATTACTTTCATCGCCCTTACTGTAACCATAGCCCTCACTTCCTTTATTGCTATGATTGCCATCACTTCCACCGCCCTTACTGTAACGATATCCCTTATTACTTTCATCGCCCTTGCTGTAACCATAGCCCTCACTTCCTTTATTGCTATGATTGCCCTCACTTCCACCGCCCTTACTGTAACGATATCCCTTATTACTTTCATCGCCCTTACTGTAACCATAGCCCTCACTTCCTTTATTGCTATGACTGCCCTCACTTCCACCGCCCTTACTGTAACGATATCCCTTATTACTTTCATCGCCCTTGCTATAACCATCGCCCTTACTGCCATTATAGTCCATTCTTCCAACGCCCTTACTCTCATGATTGCCCTCACTTCCATCGCCCTTACTGCCACGATAGCCCTTATTTCTTTCATCTCCCTTGCTGTAACGATAGCTCTTACTTCCATCGCCCCTAGTTCCACACTCCATCGACCATACAGACGCTAAAAACAAAAGAATACAGTGTACAGATTACAAATGGTCTAGGACTTCAAACAGGCTAACAGATCGCAGGGGCGATAAACGATTCACAGTTCACAGATTTTTTCTCAGAAAAAAAAGATGAAACATTCATCTAACATCAAACACATTCTATAAGTCAAAACTGATGCAGTTGTTTGTCTATAAAGTTATAAGTTACAGCTTGGAAATACTTACAGCCCACGACCAGCATGGCAATCACCGAGGCGAAAAGACACAGAATAACTTGATTCATCTTGACTTCGCGAATTCACTTTACTCTTTCAAGTTCCAAGTTAGTTTCAACTTTTCGAAAGATTGGCTCCCGCGGCGTTTTATAAAGCAACGGCTCAGCGGAAATGGAATAATTTTCAGTTTAATCTTTTTGTTCATCCATGTTGCTTAGTGACTTATATCTCTTTTCTTTTTTCTTGTTCATTTAGATCTTTGTTACAGTAATTGCTACAAGTAATTTACGCAATTTTTCTTGGCTGGAGACCTTTCGAAACCTGTATACGCAGAGGCTCATGGCTTAGGCTGTTTATGAATTTTTGAAGTATCTACCTTCAAGACAGTGAAATCCACACAATTCCTTAATTTACTTCGATTTGTGGCTCATGATTACGGATTGGCTTTAAATTTAAGTCAAGCTGCGTGTTCTTAAGGCAATAACGTAACACTTTCTTTGTTTTTTGATATATTACATTGCCTCGATGCATGTTTGACAATCCCATGGCAGAAATTTAGCGTCTATGAATGCCTGGTGCACATTTGTCAGAATTTAAATTGCTTGCCAATTAAGATCGTAATACTCAGCCAAAGTTAGCAAAAAGTTGCAGAAACATGCATTATAGAAATTGCAATTGATTCTTTATTATTGTCAGAACTTGAATATCGTCAATATCTTCTTGAAAGAATATTACATTTTTCGTAAACACTTGAGAAAAAAGTGTACAGTACATTACGTAACTCAACCACATACCCCTGCGTTTAAGTTGCATAATTTGGGTACAAGAAATTTTTTAAAAAATTGATTCATATTCAGTTTCTGCCAAAAGATTTTGCGTAGCATAATATAAACATGTACACTCTATTCGAAACCTTGAGAACACGATATAACCGGCGATATTACGTGAGAACTTTCCTCGACTCGTTCAGTTAATATCTGGTATATATAGGTCAGTGATAGATATAGAGAAATTAATAGAATACTTTATTTTATTATACAACATGAAGTGTTTATTCCTGAATATGCCATTAGCATTTTCGTCAGAATTTAAATTGCTTGCCAATTAAGATCGTAATACTCAGCCAAAGTTAGCAAAAAGTTGCAGAAACATGCATTATAGAAATTGCAATTGATTCTTTATTATTGTCAGAACTTAAATATCGTCAATATCTTCTTGAAAGAATATTACATTTTTCGTAAACACTTGAGAAAAAAAGTGTTAGATGTACAGTACATTAGGTAACTCAACAACATACCCTGCGTTTAAGTTGCATAATTTGGGTATAAGAAATTTTTAACTAATTGAATCATATTCAGTTTCTGCCAAAAGATTTTGCGTAACATAATAAAATTATAAACATGAAACCCTATTCGAAACCTTGAGAACACGATAACCGGCGATATTACGTGAGAAATTTCTCGACTCGTTCAGTTAATATCTGGTATATATAGGTCAGTGATAGATATAGAGAAATTAATAGAATACTTTACTTTATTATACAACATGAAGTGTTTATTCCTGAATATGCCATTAGCATTTTCGTCAGAATTTAAATTGCTTGCCAATTAAGATCGTAATACTCAGCCAAAGTTAGCAAAAAGTTGCAGAAACATGCATTATAGAAATTGCAATTGATTCTTTATTATTGTCAGAACTTAAATATCGTCAATATCTTCTTGAAAGAATATTACATTTTTCGTAAACACTTGAGAAAAAAAGTGTTAGATGTACAGTACATTAGGTAACTCAACAACATACTCCTGCGTTTAAGTTGCATAATTTGGGTATAAGAAATTTTTAACTAATTGAATCATATTCAGTTTCTGCCAAAAGATTTTGCGTAACATAATAAAATTATAAACATGAAACCCTCTATTCGAAACCTTGAGAACACGATAACCGGCGATATTACGTGAGAAATTTTCTCGACTCGTTCAGTTAATATCTGGTATATATAGGTCAGTGATAGATATAGAGAAATTAATAGAATACTTTACTTTATTATACAACATGAAGTGTTTTATTCCTGAATATGCCATTAGCATTTTGAAATGTGATTTCACCGCGATTGCGTGATTATCGTGTTTGATCCACCAATCAGGAAGAAAGTATAAATAATATCTTTTAATTAAACCTCCCGGAGCGGTTGTTCAGTGAGGTCAGTGATAGATATAGAGCAATTAATAAATAATATGAAACGTATTCGCTGAACTCTCAAAACAATTAGAATACGTCTTAAGAAAAAGATTTGAACTTGTTTTAGTTTATTCGATAGTATTTTGAAAGATATAGTATTTTATATTTTAAACCATGCAGTGATAAGATTTTTGAGTTGAGAATCAATGAACACCAATTATTTTTGCCGTCAACTATCAGTCAATCGATAAAAAACAGTAGAAGTCACTATATCTTGCATATAAACAGCGCAATACAACCCACAATTGCTCAACAACGGATATTAATAAACCAGTAACTATATAATAGCAGCGATAGTAATGTCTTTTACACCTTTACTAGATCATATACAGATCAGTGGCTTATCTCGCCAATCAGAGCGCAGAATCTGAATTACCAAGATGGCGGCATTTGAGTCCTCGACCTCCTTCAGAATTTGAGTCCTCGACATCCGTTATGCGCGATCCAGATTTTCATATCGATGCGTTGGACTCGCCAGCAGATATTAGACTGATCGATTACTAAACAAGGCCAAGCAAGGCAAGAAACGGAACAGGCTTTTTACGATGTTTCTTTATGTAGCACAACTTCCTAAGCAACGACAACGGTTACCTCATACGTTTTAATATGTGCAAGTTATATGAGTGCGGTAACCTCGAGGCTCGAGTATATATTGGGAAGTCGAAACTCTAAATAGGCGATTAAACGTCGCCTTCAACGAGATATTTCAAAGGACTTGGTTGTCATGAACAAATCAGTTCTGTGTGTTCTAGGTCTGGCTGCCATTGTCGCTTCATGCAGTAAGTAAATCGATGCACGAGCCTTAAAAACACGATGATAATTTTATTATTTGTAACTCAATGTTGGAAACAGTCAATATAGCAAAGCTTTCTGCATATAGGTGCCAATGCTGAGGGTCAAGCTAATGGGGAAAAGATATTTGTAGCCACAACAGAAAGGCCTGCCAAACCTGCATTATATATACCATATGGGGATTACCCGCTTACCAGTAAGTTGAAATGGACAAAATCTTGACAAAACTTTGAAATGACTGTATAATTAGCAGTATATTGATAATTGAGTGATATAAGAAAGTCATGCTATTGGACAATCGCTATATAATGCCAATCTATTGTTATCACCGTGCACAAGTTCGCAAAATGAAAGCGCAAAGACTTTAGTAGATGTTCAGACACTTTCACCGAGTTTATAAATAGCTTAGTTATTTATAATGATTCAGTAATATACTGATATGTATTTTCTTTCTTAGGTAAAAGCATGCCGGACGTGAAGAAGGTCTGTTTGCAAGGTAGAATATGACAATCCTGCTATATCTACAATTGTTTATTGAGCATGCAAGTGTTCATAAACTGGCATTGCTTTTGACAAAACTTATAAGGTAGTTCCATTTAATGGACTTCCCAAGAAATACAAAGTCAAGAAAAATCAACTAATGTACCATCAGATAACATGTCTGAACACATTTTATGCAAAATTTCAGACTGAACGAAAATCACCCATTAGGCAGATTCTTATGCACACTGAAAAGCAGTTATAGGAAAAAAGTTAACCATGTCATGTATGGCTGGCATAGCGAAGATAAAATAACATTATTATTCATTTCCTCAGAATGTAAAAAGATGCAGGGATCTGGATTCAGTGGATTGAAAGCTGCATTTGAAGAAGAATGTCTCCAAAAATGTGGCAATTTTCGTAACACCCACAATTGGGGAATTGAAGTTGGTTAGTGATGTACAAGTTGGTAACTGAATATTGGGCTATTACGGACTCAATGATCATATAAATCTTATGAGATAAAAGTGGTTTAAATTTGCAAAGATTTGTAAGAGATGTGAAACAGTTTTACAATAAAGCTTCCTTTTCCATATGCATTGAACTAGTTTTCAAATGAGTCGAAAAGAAATGGGAAATTTCGCTTTGAAGGGGGGGGGGGTCTGAACTTTTCGTTTGATGCGAGAATCCAATGGATGTGGGGCAATACCGACTTATGGGGTACTGATGGCATAGATGGAACTCTCACAGCGGTGTGGTGTAAGAAAATTTCTGCCCAAGTTGTTTCCACCAATTCTTTAATAAAAATTTGGGGTTTAGGACTTGACAACATCAATCAAAGTTATTTTAGTTTGTGATTATTTGTGAGAAGCTTAAGGTGAAAAAGAATTTTACAAATAAAGCTTTGTTTCTCAACTGAAGTTAAATCAGCTTTTCAATCTCATGCAAGCAGGCGCCGAGCGCCATATAAGGGTTATAATTTAAAGTCGTCCAACCACTTCCAACCGGGTTATAATTTAAAGTCATCCACATATATGTCATAGATGGCACCCAATCAACGTTGGACCGTTTCTAATTATGTGCGTGCGCAAAATATGAACGAGTTAAGACTGGTAATCAAGACCGTCCTAATTGGCTAACACAAAAAAAAAATTATAAAAAAGTTTTATGAACTTATAATGCAAAATAAAATCTGATAATATACGAGAGATAACATTTGACGTTTAATCTTTGAGGCTTTTGTACTGGTGATGCCCAGAATTTGGATTGTGCATTAATTGCACTCAATTTCAAAACCATTAAACAAGTGTGTGGTATGTAGGCAGAGAAACCCAGCGTGTATTGTAAATCGTGTGTGTTCAACTGTCGACCGTCTAGTCAATTGAACTATTATCGTTACCTTTCCTGATCGTATGAATTCACTTTTAACACGAAATTTATGACAATAGAAGTTACGCATAAGCTTCATCATTTATCAATGTTTATCCCTCGAGTTATCCGACGGATCCGTCATCAAAATTACAACAATTATAGAGCCGGGCTAATATCGACATGCAGTATTAGTTTTATTAGAGCACCCAATATGCAGGTTGCTTGATGAGGATGCTTTCTGTGTTAAAATGAAAACGATACGAATATTCTAACGAAATTAATTGAAATATTTATGATAGAATTGATATTGCTCGGTGCCCCGGTATATCAGAAATTCATAAATTTCGACTTGAGCCAATGGCCCAATTAATGTTATAATGCAAATGACTTACGATTGTTTCACAGCTTGCATAATTAATGTGGGTAACACAGTTTATTCTAAGGGGCTGTTTACATGAGCCCGGTTATATACCCGAGATTTAACGAAGCATGAGAGGACTTTGAGGTATTAAAATAAGTCTTTAAGACACCAAACAAGCACATGCTATTGTTGCGGTGATTATACGACGGCCAGGATCATGTTATCTGCTCATTTCAATACCTTAAAATCATCTCACGCTTCGTTGAATCTCGGGGAACCGGGCTCATGAAAACAGCCCCTAAGCTAAGTGTTGAAAATCTTCAACGGTACACTATAAGCTTTGCCTTGCACACTATAAGCTATGTACCTTTGCCTGTGGCAATACTTTACGACCTTTTTAATTTCTATATTGGAAGCAATGCATGATTTCCTAATTTCTGACTAGGCGAGCTTTGGCATGTAAAAGAAGCTAAAAAAATTTACTGTTGACCTTTGACAATATCAATTTCTTAACACTTCAGACAAAAAAGTGAGTCTAGACCTGATATAACATTACGTAGAGTGATGCAATCTTATATGTTTAAGTCGCATAGCTTAACCAAGTTCGCTAAGATTCAAAGGCCGGTGTCTGCGTGGTATAAGTGTGTTTTGACATAAGCATTTAAACAAAAAGACCACTTAGACCAGCATTACATGAGCACGATGAGGATATTTTTAACACGATCCCGGCGTCAGTCCAGCCTACCTAGCGACAGAGTTTATCAAAAAAAAAATACAAAATATCTCTAGCACCAACTATATGCCTTTTTACAATTGCCATGCAATTGTGTATAATAATTTTCGACATCCGTTATGCGCAATCCGGGTTTGCATATCGATGCGTTAGACTTTGGAGCAGATATTATATAGACTGATTACAAAACAAAGCCTAGCAAGGCGCAAGAAACGAGACAGGCTTTTTAAGGCGTTTCTTCATGTAGCGCATGTTCCTGGGCAACGAAAATGATTACCTCATCCGTTCTAATGTGTGCAAATGAGGTTACCTCGAGTATATATATAGGGAAGTCAAAACTCTAAATAGCAGAATAAAATTTAAAGAACATAAAAACGTCGTTTTCAACAAGAGATTTCGAAGGACTTGGAAATCATGAGCAAATTAGTTATGTGTGTTCTTGGCCTCATTGTAGTTTTATGCAGTAAGTACACATAGATATAAATATAGGTGAAGTAACTATTGAAGGCATATAAAAATAATGCTAAAAAGTCATATATTATATAAGTCATTTCAGGACTAAACATTTCGGTGGCCGGTTGTATAAAACTCTTTAAAACTATTTTGCATAGTTAAGTCCCAGTTAAATACACGAACCTGATTGTCCAATTCTGTCCTTAACTACAGTTAAAAGTAAACTAGTCTTTTATACAACTCGCCCTAGTAGCTTAAATAAACATTATTTACGATTAATAGTCTTAGAATGTATTGTAATGGATTCTTTAAACTGTGTAAACAAATTTTGATCAATATTGATGCATGCCTCTATAAAAAAGTCATAGACAATTATTTGTATCTCAATGTTGGAACCACTCAATGGCAAAGCTTTCTGCAAACAGGTGCGTATTGTAACGCTCAATTCGGCAATTGGGAAAAGGTATCTGGAGATACAACAGAAAGGCCTCTAGATGGGGAGTACCCCGAAATCGGTAAGATGAAATGGCTATTCAAAATCTCTACAAACTTCTGAATCTTTACAAACATGTGTCTATATCATTCAGCTATAGGGCACAATGTTGAAATATTTTTGACAAGTCTTTAAGTATTTTGTCTAAGAAAATTTTGCTAATAATACTATTTTGTTATTCGGACTTTTTCAGAAGAAAGCCTGTCCGGCAAGAAGAAGGTCTGTTTTGAAGGTACAATATGACAATTCTGCCATCTTTAATTAAAATTGTATACTGGATATGCATGTAAATTCTAGAGGTTTAAAGGGTCTTAATTTCGAGTGGAATTATACACACTTCAAATTCAAGACAGGAACATTCAACAAACAAGAAAAATAAGTCAACTATCGGTCCTCCCGCAGGAATCGAACCTACGCTTTTGCGATGCCGGAGCATTGCTCTTGCCACTGAGCTACAGAGGTAGCTGAGAAGAGCAAGCGTGGTTAATGTGTATAGCAGAGTAAGGTCGTAAGCATGTTGTTCAGAAACTGGTATTACTTTTGACAAAGCTTATATGCTTCTCTTAAAATACAAAGTGAAGAAAAATCAATAACACACCATCAGATGCATGAGCTTGTCTGAACACATCTTTCATGCGAGATTTCAGACTGAATAAAAATCCCCCTCCAGGACAGGCACAATAATATCACGCCATCTAAAAAAAGTTCAACGCCCAATTTCCAGCAAACTAAAATCCAGAACTCAGGCAGGGCATTTTCCAAAATTAATGCACAGCTATAGGATAAAACCTCGTCATGTATGGCGGCATAGTATAGGAAAAATATAATTTCACCATCGTTTGTTTCCTCAGAATGTAGAAAGATACAGAGATAACATTGGTAGCAGCATGTGAAGAAGACGAACTAGCCGTTGCGTGCCAGAAAAAAGGATTCGCCGGATGTGGAACAAGTCAGGCTTATGGTGGACAAAGATGCATAGTGAGCAACTGTGAAGAGTCTTCTCAAACGCCTCAACGCGGAGTACTTCAAGCAATGTTGTAAAAAAAATTCTATGCTAGTTATGACCTGAATCGGCTATTATGACTCGATGATCGCAACCTAAAAGTAGACCACAATCTTGTTTAAATTTGCGATGAATTGCTAGAAATGTAAAAGTGTTTTACAATAAAGAACATGCATCAGAGCTATAACTTGGTCTAATTATAGGTGCAAATGTAAATAATTTGCCGTTTGATATTTTTATTCTTTTGCCTGCTGATTCCATTCAATTACATCGGCAAATGTATGGTCAATTGTAAAAATCTTTAATCCTTCAAGGTGTTGAATAATTAGCAAGTGCTTTTGTCCTCTGCGGTCAGCAAGGAGGTCGACAAGACTTGAAAAATCTCACCCAACTGTGCACGCTATACAATACTCTCACGTGAATGTGAAAATTCCCAGCCTGAACTGATCAACATCAACCTGTTGACATCAAGCTACGTCTAAAATAGAAGGACAAGAAATTAATCTACTAAAATCCGTGAAGCTAGAACTAAAGAAAACTGTGCTCGTTGACAGAAAATCCGCACTCTCTGAAACCTCAGAGATTAGCATGTTCGATATATTTATAATATTTACAATTCGCACGCATTTAGTAAGTATCCTCTAAGTTTGCACAGTATAGCTATAGGAGGAAGGTAAAGTGGAATTCCGTTTTAAACTAATCAGCATATTTTTTTACATTTTTTACACCAGGTCGATCAGAGTGTCTAAATTTGTAATACTTCATGTAAAATGGTTAATAATGTACCTTTTTATCTGAATTGAATACACATCGTGGTTTGGCTCAATTAATCCGTGATCTCAAGAAAGAATGAAAACAAAACACGACACAAGACAACATATATTAATGCAAAATGGAAATAATGTTTTATTTCTCGACTAAAACTACATTTTAACGAGTATCAGTATCGATTTCATGCCAGTAGACTTTCTCAAACAGTTTATCCGTAATAAAAAAGCTTAAAGTCTTCTGGAGGTATTTTACAGCACGTTGCCGCTATTTTCGTTCGCATTGGCGACGGCAAATTGTCATCGTTCCTTCCAGTACAGTCGTCTATTAAACATCCTTTGAGACCAGACGACGACTTTTTCTCTTCACATTCAT